AATTTCCAATGAACATGCGTGACACATACGGGATTCGCGTGACAAATCCGAACAAATTGCGTTCGTTTTTTTCCGGCGTTCGTATTTTTACCGTATCGTAAACATATTTCGAAAAAATTTCTACAGAAATATTTTTGCGTGACAATTACCAGGTAAAATGCGTATTTTGCGTGACATTTTCTGTCACGCAAAAAAAACTGGCGTGACTTCAAATTCTTCAGCAAATGCGTGACAAATACGCAAATTGCGGGACAGTTGACAGGCCTGTATCATGTATATCAGGATGTACCTTGACCTGCATATTTATAATTTGAAAATGTACACTCAACTTAATTCATGAAACATGCTGTAGATACAGTTAATTTCGCACTTCTTAATTTAGCGGAACTGCCCTATTTCAAATATTCATGGCTATTTACACTGGCAGATCTGGGGGGGGGGGGGGGTCTGGGGGCCCCTTGGGTGGGCCCAGAAGAATAAAATTGGACCCAAAAGATTTCGGGCGAAAAAGGCCCTCAGGCCCCAAAAAGTGGGCTTTTTTGGTCAATACTGGGCCTTCTAAGGCCTTATTTTTTATTTCAGGCCACATTTTGAAGAAAATAGACCTCAAAATTCCAAAAATTGGGCCCACTTTTTGGTTTTAGGGGCCCAAAATTTTTTTTCTCTGACCAGAGGTTTGGGCCCCCCTTGTTGGTTCCCAGATCCGCCCCTGATTAAATTTTCCAGATTCAGAACTGAGTTTTAAGTTTTATCATTGATCTGGAAATTAGCATTTCAAATTCAGGTGTACAGCATACAGTAAGTCTTAGTATAGCAATGAAATCAAAATAGAAAGACTTACACAAATGAAATCTTTCAGAGATTTGGAGATTTTCCAATATCAGTGATCTCCCCAGCATTAAAGCAAGTGGGTGCAGCACCCACCTGAGATTTGAAAAACAGGCTTGCACCCACCTGAAAATCCATTTGCACCCTCTTGAAATGAGAAAAATTATGAAAAATTGGCATATTTTGACTTATTTAGGTCTGAATTGTGACAATGAGAATTTTGCACCCACTTGAGGAAATATCCTGTGGAGATCACTGAATATACACCTGAAAATTGGTGGATTTTTATTTGGCAGACCTTTTCAATCTGTCAAATTAAAGGTGCAACAATTAGTGCAGAGGGGCAATTCAATGATCATTGACCAGTGTCAAAATATATTTACGTATTTTTTATCAAGACTAAAATTATTTTTTATTATCTCCAAAGAAACCCCCTGGATGTACATTAGTTCAGCTGATATTCCTCTTGAAAAGTTGTGAATCTTAAAAATCTATAAGTGGGACTCCCTTTATAGAAGCTTTGAACTGAATTTATTCTGCTTAATGCTGAAATTGATAGTTTATCCATACATTTCAAGAAAAAAGGTATGTCAAAGAAGATGTTAAGCCAAATATTGGCCTGATAGCTCAGAAAAAATAAAAAAATTCTCTCTACAGTCCTTGTTATTTTATACCCCTTTAAGTATATCTACAGTACCCAAGTAATAGGACTTTCTCACCTGTTTGGCTTCTCTCTGAAGTATTCTCACATGATGTCACAGCCAGAGTAAGGAGTCAGGTATTAGAGAGGAGCAGCATCAGAAAGCGGTACCAGATACAACAATGATGCTGTACTTTATGGCATCTAAAGAAACATAAACAAGTTGTTAGAGAGAATTAGTACATAGATGACAGGCAGGTTTATGGTTGTTTCAATACCTATTACTCCAGTATCATCAAGGCAACAATAAATATTTTTGAAGCAATCTCTAACAAGGCATTAAAGTGACAAAATAAACCCATGTGAGCTAAAATCATCATGACTTCAACTAATATTTAAATCAACGAGGAAACAAACCTGCATCTTTGAGTCTCTTGAGAAACTGAGTAACAATTCATTTCTACTAGAGCAATCTGCATGGGTTCTTTCACTCCGTGTTCATATAATACCCAAATTAGTACCCACTCTTTGCCTGCCTGAAAATCAAAGTGTGAAGAGCATTTAGTATACAGTCAGTTCTTGGATGTGTTATGCGTGGAAATAGTACTTTTGCCTCTGTAAAAAAGCATCTAATATTGAAATTTAGATTCATTCAAATGCTAACTTACCATCCTATTTGGCCAATGCAGTTGTGCTCTCTGGCTAATGACATTTTCAGTTCATTTTCCACATACAATATAAAAAATACCCTTCTCAAAAGTGAAATCGACTGAAAAGTCTATAAATATTGCCTATACCTAACATTGATAAGACAATGCAATAAATGCATCAAATTCAATGGTGCAAAGATAATGTGTTTTGCACTGTAAACTGTGAAGTGGACTATTTGATTATTAAAAATTTCACCTTTTATTTGTAAATTGGTGGGATATTTGAATATTTGAAAAGATTTCTAATATTTTTGCTTAATTTAATTTTGGACCTTTCGATGTTAAAGTCTAAAGATCATCTGGAGATTTTTTTATGATGCTTGATCATTATATGAAAATTTGAAAATGAATTCCACAGATCATCAAAAGCAAGGCTTTTTGGCCAGAGTTCAACTCAGCTCATTACATGAAAAAAGTTTCATACCAACTGTTAAAATTATGAGAAAGCTGCTAGTAAAGGCTTAAGAAGACCTGGAGATATTTCTATGATGCTAGATCAAAATATGAAAATTTGAAAATGAATTCCACAGATAAACCAAAGCAATTGCTTTTTTGCAAGAGTTCAGTACATGAAAAAGTTTCACACCAACCGTTGAAATTATGAGAAAGCATATTCTGATGCTTTCACTTGAAGGATAAGTGTAGCTAAATTAAACTGGCCCTCTCTAAACCTAAGTATTAGCAGTATTAGCAGGAGCTTTTCTTACATCAAAATGAGAAAAATATACACAATAAACAATAACAATTTCAGTTGATCAAAATAATGAAGAGAATACAGAGAAAGAAATGTCTTGTCACCCTACACTTGAAGGAAGTTTAAATTGTGACTCATGGCACATGGCATTTGAGTATAATCTGACCATCAAAATTAACTGTCTTTTGGTTGGATTTTCTCTCAATTTTTTAGTTCCACTTATCATTTATATAACCAGGCTCACTGTGGTAATGCAAATAGAAACAGTAAACATTTTGGAATGGGAATTTGAGTCCTCTGAAAATGTGACAGAAAAATTGACAAAAAGAGTAGCACGGCAAAGGTCCCTGAACATTTTTTTCTAATTTCTCTGAAACATCCCTTTAATATAGCCCAAAATGGAAGGAGCTTTAGAATTTTGAAATCTCTCATACAAATTAAAAAAATAGAAAAAAACAATTTGAGAAGTGTACTTTTTTCCTTATTTTGATCCCAATTTTTTTATCGGGTAATTTTTCAAATTTCCGTTGCTCCTTCATTTTTGATATATGTTTGAAGTATATTTTCTGAAATGTTCAGATATTTTGAATCAGCGGTTTTTCACCGGCTACTCCTAGAAAAAAATCTTCTCAAATTCTTTAAACGGCACTTTTTTTCTCAAACTAACGTTTTTTGTTGTTCTTTGATGTCTTTGTATTGATTACAGTGCACAAGCATATTGTGAAATAATAAAAACGACTTCTCAGGAAGAGTTTGAAAATTTCAAGATTGTGAAATTTTCTATTTTTTCTGAAAATCGATTAAGTTAACAGTCACCTTAATATCCCCGGGGTAATATCGAGCATCTATTTATAGCCTAAAAGCACAATACTTCAGATTGGAATGGCAAAACTGGTCACTCAAAATTAAACTTAGAAAATTGGAAGCCATCTTCGATCTTCAAATAATTTTAGTAAACTGTTACGACTTGTTCCTTCACTTTTATCGATACCATTTGTTGTATACTTACTTCAATGTTATCTGTTTGTTCCCTTATACTTTATACACCAGACAGCGATACCTTAGGGTCCGATTTATTGTTTACTGTCGTCCTATTCGGGCATATTCGACAGCAATTTGAAAACTTCCACCGAAAACTTCAAAACCGGAATTTACGTCACGAGGCCATGACTCGCCAAAAATACGATATAGGGTTAAAAATGAGAGTGTACTTTCTAATTCGTTTTCTCCATGAACTACGACCGGGGCGAAAAAAATAAGCTGACATAAAGATCAGAAGTATCCAAAATAATCACGAACACCCGAAGGTTAGTGCTGAAAACCTCAAAGACAAATTTCTGCCAACTTTGAAGAGGGAAAATTTTTTTTTTTGAAAAATCATCAAAAAATATTCAAGTCGGGTATACACCAAATACACGATTTTATCACATACGAAACATATTAATGGCTTTATATAACGCAACTCTCGTGTTGGGCATCATAAAAATCCAAACGGAATCGAAATTGATGATTCATGGGTTGAGTTATGGCCTCTTGATTTGAGGTGTCGTATTTTTCTACGAACTCGTGTACCGAGAAATCGGGACTATATCACGCCACGGCGGAGATAGAAATGTCGCTAACCGAAGCACAATTTGCCCTTTGGATCTCCTGCTGTATTATTTTTCTCAGATATTCATTTTAGGTGTTCTATATATTTGCCATTATGTATAGGCTTAACACATTTTTCGTGACGTTTAATCCAGTCATGAACACAAGTTGGAAGTCACCTTCTCTCATCACACGCACTTTGTTGAATACCGCGTTTTGCAGAACTGTCTTGAAAACTTTTAAGTCCCATAGAAATAAACATTTGAGGGAGCCATGTCTGGTGAGTAAGAAGCCATTCCCACTTATTCGATCTCCATGCTTTCCAATTGCTTCTTTGTTTTTGCTGTATGGCAAGGTGCATTATTCCAATGCCGGGTGAAGTGATCTATCACATCTGTTTTTTTCTTGCAAATGATGTGTTTAATGCGATGTTTACAATAGTTACTTTTGATTTTACTTTTTGATCACCCTGTATTTATCAAATCTCAAATCACCGCCTGTGTATCTTATTATTGACAACGTCTAATTTAAATCTTACCCCATACTCTAACCTCCGTCCATATTTCAATGGGTAAATTATCCACCTCATTCACGTATTGACATGTGTAATTGCCACTGTCAGAGATATCAGCCATGTCAATTATAAGTTCATAAGATATAGTAATTGTGTACCTATAATGTGTTAATCGATACAAATTAAATAAAAAATAGTGCACACAAAATAGGCATATTTCGAAGGAAAGTGAAACTACTGTTTAATTTGCTCTTCTTCCTTTGAAAATCTATATTTTCTTGACCCATTGCTACTTTGAATAAGAATGTTTACTTGTTTTTGTCCTCGTTGCTTGGATAAAATATGTCTCTATCTTCTCCCCATTGTACTTTAAGTTGGCTGTCCTTAAACCATTTGATCGCATTCGCATTGTGGTCTGGTGCATTGCAGGGTACATTGATTCTTTCTCCAGGACGACCATTAACTCTTTTGTGGTCTACACCATCTGCATATATTTTGTTGACTACATTACGACAATGCCCTAATTCTTTAATTTTGAATAATTTTGCATTTTCAGTAGGACACAGTAGGATTTGGTAGGGTTTGTGAATCTTGGAATATTCAGCTCGCATTCGCTGATTAAGCTAGCATTCGCTGGTATCAACTGCCGGCTATCGGTTACATAAGCATTGGTAATCATCTGCATAAATTAACCTCGTCATTTTGAAGTTCAAATGACGAACAAACCGCTGCTTACTAACACTGATCAGTGGATTTTAGGCGATAGCTAGCAGCTATAGAGATGTACCGCAGGTACTAAGCCTATTCATATTTAAAATAAAACAAAAAATAAAATAGCTATCAAATCGGCACCCGTCAGTCGATAGTTGAATTCGCGAAATGCTAGCTTATACTTGTAAGTTCAGTGAAGGCAAAAAATTGTTGGTGCCCAAGCACTTTAAAAACTCAATATCATCAAAAAAGTATTTATTCAAAGTATTTAAATAAAGTATACGATGTTTTAGACAAAACATTATCACGATCAAATTACGATTATCATAATATATAACAACAAGCCCACACAATTCACGAAGGACACAATTAACACAGCAGACGATTAACCGTCTGTAAAACAAAAGCTATATTACATCCGATGACATTTTTCGCGAAAACCATGATCACCAACAGATACTCTATTATTTTCAAATTCTCCATCTTCTTATTTCCATATATGGTTGGTCCTGTCCTTAGTGTAATATGTCTATCTCACTTGAAAGGCACTTCATAATTTTGAAAGACAGTCGGAAGAGTACATCTTTGTTGACCATGCGATGTGTGCAATAGCAGTCATTCTTGAATTGCGATGACCAAACAACTTAAAAGTAATTGCAAATACTATTTGGAAAACTTAATTCAAGATGGTGCCTACATTTTTTAGTTTATTTTCTAGATTTAAATTTTAGAACGGAAATAAAATTACAAATAGAAATTAAAATACTTGCTAAATAGCAGACAGGAAACGAAATGGCCGATGTATGTTTAAAAAAGATGATAAAAATAACTATGATCAATGGGGCGAACCAAAATGATTTCATCAGAATATTAAAAATACAAGCAATCGACTCGTTCTAGTCATCAAGGGTCACAACAGCCCCCACTTGGCAACAGCCCCCCATAAATGCTAAATACCTGTATATTGATGTTTGACCTAGACTTATTATTGAATTGAGGTGAGCTTGTCCAAATGCCTTAGTTTATACATAGATATTGACATTTGTCTTTGACATTACCTTGACCTCAGGAAACCCAATAATGGGTCGCAAAGGGTCACATCGCGATATTGACCTTTAACCTTGAGATGACCTTGACCTACCTAATCATGTGACGCCAAGAATCACAGCAGCCCCGAAGACCTTAAATTACCAAATACCTAGTTACTGACCTTTGACCTCGGAATGACCTTGACTCAAGGCATCCCAATTATGGGTCGCAAAGGGTCACATCGAGCCCCAAATGCATGGGAAGGCCAAATACCAAGATATTGACCTTGAACCAATAAGTTGACCATAACCTCAGGTCACCTAATCTGACCTTTGACCTTGGAATGACATTGACCTCTGACCTTCGTAGAATGTCCAACGACCCACTTAGTATGTTGACCAAGTATGAGGGGCCCAGGTTCAAACGGTCTAGGAGGAGATGTCCGGGCGGACGGACGGACGGACAGACAAATGACCACGTTTTATAGTAAGAAGATAGTAATTGGCCATTAAAACATGTAAACTAAACAGTAAACAAGATTGTTTGAATGATAATTTTATACCCCTCACCTTAACAGAATGTAAGAAAATGTTCAAAAATTAACCCTACTATGTATCTTACAGTATGTCAGTCTCTTGTAATTGTACTACCATAAGACGAAAGGTGAATGTTTTCGATGTTATTCGACTTTGAACATTGTTCACTGGTGATCCACTCGATTACGCTGGAACCGTTTCGGTAGCAAAATGTCGGAACGTCAAAGGCACATTTTTTCTTTTTTCCTTATTTCACACGTTGTAGGCAGAAATCCCACGGCATTTTTAACACAAACGTGTATCAGTATCATATGATTAAATGTACACATTTGCATACACTCCCCTCCATAAGTTTGGCAACCTTTTTTCCCCATTGAACTACGTGTTAAAGCCTCCTTACCTTTGAATTTTTATTTACTTAACCCGTGATGAAATAACTTATAATATTGATAGAAACGTAACTTGACCTTATTTCCAATACCTCCAAATTTTCTCAATTTTTTTCCTCAACTACAATAGGTCAAAAATTGATGATAAATTTGATGACTTTTGAAAATCGTCATTCCCATGTAATCCAATGGGAAATGGAGGGTTCGGGGCAAATCAGAAATCAGGATATCTTTTCAGTAAAAGATTCAGCAAAAAATATTTTTATATAGAAAATTGAATTGTCTAACTTTTTAAAATACTAAGTGTTTAGTTTATTTGATGAATATAAAAGTTACAGCGCTTCAAAGTCATTTTTGAAAATAATTTTTCGCCTCCTGTGTTATTTCAATGGGAGAGTTTTTTTGAAAAACAACTTTGACTTTAAAGCCCTATAACTTTGTTGAACCTGAAGAAACATATCAATTTTTTGTTAAATAAAGTTAGCAAATTCAACTGCCTGCCTAACTCGTATTTTTGCAACGACTCTGATGGATGGATATTCTGTCATATGACTTGCGGCAAACCTACCATTTCCCATTGGTTAACATGGGAATGTCGATTTTCAAAAATTCATCAAATTTATCATCAATTTTCGACCTATTGTAATTGAGATAAAAAATTGAGAAAATTTGAAGGTACTGGAATTAACGTCAAATTACGTTTCCATTAATAGTAAAAGTATTTTCATCGCAGGTTAAGTAAATAAAAATGCAAAGGTAAAAGAGGCTTTAACACGTAGTTCAATGAGGAAAAAAAGTTTCCAAACTTATGGAGGGGAGTGTACAAATAGTTCAGAAGACAACGGAATCGTCGATTTAATCCCTCACTTAAGTTACCGAAACGGTATTTCAAAAAACAGTTAAGATCTGCACTTTTAACCCTTATGTTTATGTAACTTAAGTGAGGAATTAAATCGACGATTCTGTTGTCTTCTGAGCTATTTTTTCGCAAACATGTACCCGTTATAAAACATTTGATACTGATACACGTTTGTGAGAAAAAATGTCGTGGGGATTCTGCCTACAACGAGCGAAATAAACAAAAATAAAAAATCGTACCCTCGACGTTTCGCCATTTTGTTACCGAAACGAACCGTTTCGGTAACCAGCGTCATCGAGCGGATCATCAGTGATTGTTATTCGACTTAAAAGCAAGACGCCCGCCAACATGAAAAACATCGATATCGGTATATGGTTCCAGCTGTAACTTTTGGAGCAATAACATTTGAATTCAATCTATCTATAGACTTTTATATGAATATCTTAAAGATTCATTGCTTTTGATGTAATTAATTATATCTTACCTACATGTCGACCTAGTAAAAGCGTCCTAGATTTGATTGCTGATTTTCATATTCTCACCAAATGGCAGGCACTACTTTGATTTGAGACTTATTTAAGGACGCCAATAAAGTTCGATTGGAAATTAGTTTCATTTTGTTCTCAACTGAGTAATGCGTGTTTGTAATACAGATCATATTACTTAGTATTATCGGTTATTTGTTAACTTATTAACATTAATCACATGGCTCTTACAAACGTCTACAATAATCTCCTCAAGAGAATAAATAACCATGTACGTGTTCTTTTTGACTTATATGACTCGCACTCATATGTTGTATGGTTCTTTTGATTAAGCTTACACTTCTTTCCAAACGTTTGGCAACGTAACCTCCCCGTTGTCATTGGACTACGTGTAAAGGCCTCTTCATGTATTTATTTACATAACCTGCAATGAAGATACTTTTGTTAAATGTAAAATGTAGGAAAGTAACTTGACTTTCATTCCAAAATCTCAAAAATTCCCTTTTTTGAATTTCTCAATTACAATAGTAGAAAATTGATGACAAATGTTGAATTTATGAAAATCGTGATTTCCGTGTAAACCAATGATGGGTACGGGACAAATCAGATTTATCTTATATAAGGACGTTGATAGATGGATATTCTGTCATGTGACCCGCGGCAAACCTCCCATTTCCCATTGGTTTACACGGGGATGTCAGGTTTGTCATCGATTTGGAGGTATTGGAAATTATGTCAATTTATAATTCTAGCCTAGCCCTAAAAGTATAGTTTTTTCTTTAATGATATGTAAACAAACATCCAAAGACATTTAACATCTTTAAACCACCATGAGTTTCTTTAATGTCATCTTCTTTGTATCTTCCTTTTGCCCATTCAAAATTTGAAAAATAGCGTGTTAATACGATCTAACACTTCATCTGGAACTAAAAATGGTTGCATTAAATATAGAAATTGTAAGCTCCGAAGAAACGTCACCAGGGTAATTCTACCTAAAATTGTGAGATTTCTTTGACACCAGCTTCTCATAATACTCGACAAATGTGTAGTAATTTAAAAACATGAATGACCACCAAAAGACAACTTTTCTATTGACGAGTGAGGGGATCATATTAAAAGAATCTGCTGACATGATAAAGTATCTAATGATTGGTAGAGACAGGATTCTTATATCAAAGTAACATTTTATATATGTCATTTGAAGAATGTAATCCTATTTTCTTTACTTTATTGCTATATTTACTGTTATTGAAAATTGTATATCGGATGTACGTTTGGCCCTAAAAGGGCATCAGTACTAATAAAATCCTATTACCATATTGTAATAGCTTCACATTTAGTAGGTTATTCTCTTTGATGTAAAGAAACATATTGTAACGTAATGTAATCGGTACAGTAGTTTTTAAAAAAAGAAAATGAGTAAAATAAACATAAATAATAACGTTGTTTAAGTTACTGCTCATGGCGAATGAAAAACATTTAACGTTTAACTAAAAGTACATGTATTTAAATGCACACAGCACTTTTAGAAAAGATGGGCACATAGGAATTTAATCTTGATTTACCGAACAGTCTTCTTAATTATATCTTGACATGAGGTTTTCATCTATATTTCTGCTGACATTTGGTGTTATCGCTAGTAAGGGCGATGGTACATACCCTCGTCCTTCAGGTGAGTAAGATATTGTATACATATATAAATTCTAAAGACCGTATGTTCAACAAAATGAAATCGTAAAACGATTTAATTCTAAAAAATTTAAAACAACGAATCACACAGTTGTTTGTTCATTACTGCAGAGTTGAATGCTACTAAGCCGAACATACTCATAGGAGGTCTCCTTCCATTGGACATCACCTTTTCAAGACGTTTAATGACTGCTGCACAAATCGCAATAGATGAGATCAACAAAAGAAATGACGTGCTTAAAGACTACAATCTAGTACTACACATGAAAAATACATCAGTGGGTGTACAACTTTCAGATTACATAATTTCAACGAGATTACAGTTGTTTATAATCTCGTCTATAACAAGTACAAAAAAATTATAGTATGTAGTTTTCTATTCATTGATACACTCACGCCCAGGGGCGTGATGATCTATAATTTCAAAGTGATTTCAAAGGTCAAAATTTGGGTCAAATTTACAATATATCAATTACATTTGTTTTTGTATGATATTTTTCTCTCGATTTCTTCATCGTGTACCCTACTATCACACCAAACTAGTTCTCACTACGTTCTCGAAAACGGGCTTCAACTGTGTACGAACGGACTGGACCTACTAAGAACCGTTTGGGATCTATTTACAAACTTCATCGAACGTACTCGAACGGATAGGTCCTCTAGAACTTAGACAATGCTCAAAATGTTCTCGTGGTCGTCACTTTCTACAATTAGAACGAGTGACAACGTACTAACGACGAACTGGACGTACTACGAACGGAACCGTCGTACTTCAATCCTACAAGGGACGTTTTAACAACGAGTTGAACTGTCTGAGGACGTGTTGAGAACGAGGTAGAACTAATTGCAAACGGGTTTAAACTGATTAAGAACGTATTTAAAACTGCTTATGAACGAGTTAGCAAAAATATAGCTATCACACCAAACAAGTTGCCACTGCGTTCTTCAAAACTGGTTTTAAACTGTGTGCGAACGGAATGAACGTAGCTGCAACTTTCTAAGGTCTATTTACGAGCTTTATGAACGTTCTCAGACGGGAATGTGATTTTAGAATTTTGAATCGATTCAAAATTAGATGGCGACCATACCGTTCTGTAATTAGGTCATGTTGACCTTCTAGACTAAGGGACGCGTTCTACGACGTTGCACACCGACGTGGTGCGACCTGAACGAACTGCGAACGAGATGGACGTATTGAAGACTGTTTAAGAACGAAGAAGCTAATTATTTCAGACATATTTCCCGACCACAGCCAGATTGAGCCCGTTTTACGACGTTTTCGTAGGACTGGCAAGAACGGGTAAGAACTAGTTTGGTGTGATAGGGGGGGGGGGGGGGTAGCTCAGAAAGAGCGCTTTGAGTGAGCCCACACGTTTTTTGATTACTCTCAGGAATTTTGAGAAAGGAGCATATAGGTTATCGCAAACAATTTCAGACGGTTATATCTTGGTTTATGGCTATTTTTTGACAATAAAGACAGGTTTATCTTTTAGATCCATTCATTATCTCAAAGAAAATTATATACAGTAATAATAAAGTCGAACAAAATCGAAGATATTTAACTAGCAATCAACCCATCAACACACTTTTCAAAGATGTTAACCTCATTTTCACCGAAAATGCAATCATTTTTTACATTGTTTAATGCATTACTATTCTTTATTTTAATGTATCAAACATTTCTTGAAAGAAAAACTTAATTGCTTTAAGATAAGTGTTCCCCATGTTATTTCTCCATTGAAAAACCTCATGCTATCCATTGGTTTCAGTTCATTTTGGTCATCCAAATTCAGTATCTTTAAAGTCCCTGGAGCAATCAACTTTTCCTCTTAGGAAATCAAACATGTCTGAAAAGCACATTCTAATTATGCATTCAACAATATAATAAAAGGTTGCATTTTTGGTGAAAATTGGGTCAACATTTTTGAAAAAGTATATTGATTGGTCCATTGCCCCTTCAATATCACCAAGATCTGATTTACTTAATTATCATTACATATATTTTTCTTGAAGATAGTGAATGTATCCAAAAGATACACCCATGTTCATGATCAGAAAATATTCATAATTCAAGTTAGAATTGTTTGAAATTGTTTGCGATCCTACGTGCTCCTTTGACTCCCAATAAAGGGTGAATTCAAAGTATAATCTATCGTGATTGATATCAATTTAATAGAAAATTTGCTCAGGAGTCCAAATGTAAAATCGAAATTGGAATCCGACTTCCGGTTGACATTTATGACCTAATTTTAAATTAGAAAAAACGTTGACTTTAAAAGAGGTTTAAACAAAATAAAAGGACCTTAAAAAGTCAGTCAACTTAAAATTTTGGGTGTCAAAGGTCAAGTACAAAATCTCGGTCATTTTCCTAATTTTCTCAATTACCACGCTACTCTTAAATATTGTGCTTTAAACTCGATAAGAATAGAACAGCACATTTCTTTCTCATTTCTCAGCAATATCAAATGTCAAAATCAATTTTAAATAAAAATCTGGAATTTGGAGTCTTGAACTGAACTTTGTTCAATTTCACAAACCTAGTTATCCTAATGTATCTAATCTAAATATTTTGCATGTCCGAACTCACGACATTTATTGACAAACTCTAATATTACAAAGTGTAATATGCTTTCGCAGGCTCGACATGCTCCAATGGGTGGACCCGAAGCCGAGCGACTTTCTACAATTAAGACACTAGAGTATATTGATGGTAATCCAATGGTTCATATGGTATTTGGTGGTCTATATATTGCCACCACAGAGAAGTCGGCATACCTAACCAGTCTTATGAATATAATGCAGGTGATGATCTTAATGATCAGTTAGTACGGTTTATTAAATATTTTTATTATGTCCACTAAACGGTCCATCTAAAAACGCGGATCCAAGATTTTGTGGTCGTGGGGACGCTCACACATTCCAAAATGCGCGAGAATGACTGTCGAGCGTACGCTATGGGGGGGGGGGGATTTTTCTTTTTTCCTGATTTCACGAGTTACAGGCAGAATTCTCATGATATATTTTTTCACAGACGTGTGTCAGTGTCAAATGTTTAAGAAAATCTAAATGTTTGCGAACAGATAGTTTAGAAAATAAATAGTACCATGGATACTGGGCTCACATGGTCTTGCTCAGAAAGAGAAAAGTGAATGATGGCAAAAAATGGCAGGCAATAAAATTGAGCTAAAAACAGATATAAATTTTTGCCAATTTAATTATTTTACAATGCAGGACACCTGAAATCAGTTCTAAAGCTATTGAGTTGACAAAAAGTGAGTTGTCAACTCAAAATAATTTAAAACAGGAATCTTATTGACCCGGTGTGAAAGAAACGATGGTCTCCCAGGGATTATGGTCCCCTTTCTTAATAGCCCTTACTGGCCCTGATTGCGTATAAGATAATGAGGGAAAGAGTTGTATTTAGGTCACCATATAAATCAATGGAGAGTAGGACCATAATTTGATAGGACCTCCTACCCTTTTACACCTGGTTTTAAAAGGTGCTTCTCTTGTTGACTGAGAGACAAATGAACAAATCAATGTTAACTAAAATGGCTGAAAATAAAAAACGGATATAACTTTTTGCAGATTTTTTGTAACAAAATCATTTCATACTCTTTACAGTAACATGGCTTTTTACAATGCGGTATACCTGGAATTATTTATAAAGCTAACAAATGGTCCAAAAGTGATTTTGCGAGACAAAAATGGTGGCGACTGAGTTTTAGAACCAGGAGTCATAGGTTTTTTTCTATATATTGACGTTGAACAAAAATCACTTAAAACGGGAATTCTATTGACAGAGGTGTATGCTATATCTCGAGAAAGCAAGTAAAAAGAAAAATCTTACCGAACTTCTCAACTGGAACCGTGGCATAATCGAGTGCAGTACGAGTGTATGTGTCATCTCTATGGAATTTTCATTCATTTTATATTTTTTACTTAGGTTGCACCATCGACAAACTCGTTAGTTCTGTCTGATAAAAAGAGGTAAATATAGCCTACTGACTCTGAAGCTAAAAATAATTACATGATTTTTAAGTATTAGTATAAAAAGGCTCGAATTTCCTTATTGAAGTGGCAACAACTGGGTTTTCGATACCCCGCAAAACCAATATGCTTATTATGTCCCCACTACATAGTGTGGGACCATATTGTCGGCCTAGGCGCGTCTGTCCGTCCGTCTGTCCGTCCGTACGTCTGGCATTTTTCTTCAAAACCGCTACAGGTATCACCTATCACCTACAAGTATCAATTTTCAGGGATAACTTATGAGTGCATACGGATGTGGATGAAAACATTTCGACTAGATACCTACTTCCTGTCGGCCATTTTGAAATCAAAAGCTAAAATTCTTGTCTGCAAACTTTAAGAAAACGGCTTCACAATTACTTTTTAAAGTTTAACATTTTGTTTAACGCACTTCATTCTACGTCTGATTAGGTTTTGGACCTGTTAGCTCAGTCATGGCAGCCATTTTTAATGTCTTGAGAAAAGTTAGCGAGCGGAATGAAAATCTCGAACTGATTAGTTTTTCGGAATTCTGGGTTAATGTAAAGGCAGCCATTTTGGATTTTCCGTCCTAAAATCTTGTCTGTTAAGTCTTGTCTACGCGTTTTCAGGTTACCTGTTTGACAGATCAATTTCAAATTTTTAGGGATGGGATGAAAATCTAGCACTGATTGGTTTTTCTGCATTGTGGGTAAAAAATTTAAGGCAGCCATTTTGAATTTTCCATCTAAAATCGTGTCTGTGAAGTCTTGTCTACTCATTTTCAGGATAACCATTTGACAGTTCGATTTCAAATTTGCAGGGATGATTTTTAATATAAAAATCTAGAATTGATATGTTTTTCGACATTCTTGGAAAATGTTAAGGCAGCCATTTTGGATTTTCCATCCTAAATTCGTGTCTGTGAAGTCTTGTCTATGTAATTTCTGGTGAACCGTTTGAGGGATCAATTTTTAGGGATGATTCATAGTATGAAAATCTCGAATTGATTAGTTTTTCGACATTCTGGGTGAACGTGAAGGCGGCCACATTGGATTTTTCTGTTAAAATATTTTCAACTGATTAGCGTTCAGCATTCAGGATGAAAAATGTGTAGTATAGAATCACCCATTGGTGGGGACATGTTGTACACTTTTGTGTCATGCATAAATTTCTCTGTTGTACCTATGGTCCATATTTCGACTGATTTATTACCTATATCACTAATTCATCAATAAATACCAAAAATTGCAGCTTAGTGTTCGATATCAGTAGTTTTTCACACTTTTGTGAGAATTTGTATTAACTTAACAAGAGGTGACATATTGTCCTGTTAATGACTCGCTTAAATTATATTTTAAACCTTTTGTAGATATCCATATTTCATGAAGTTACTTTCGGATGGTTTTCCTTTCAATGATCTGGTTACCCACTTTGCTATGGAAAATAAATGGAACAAGGTCATGATCATCTCTGACCTGGGATTTGATGATGTAAGTCCCCTGACAATATTTATTACTCCATACTTGCGATGAAATAACTATTTTACTGAATTTTTCAAGATTTATTGTAGAAACCATTTCCAACATGGAAATTAAATATTTTATCATGATTCCTAGTTTTGTGATTTCAACAGGCATTTTTCTAAAATGTCGCCCAATAAAACACAGATTCAAATATTCAGCTATTGAATTGTCAGTCATCCAAAGTATTTTTAAATGCACTTGTTGCTATATAAATTATGGCAGATTCTTCTTATTCATGCAACAATGTGTTGGTTATATACAGGGTGTCCAATGGCGTTGTGCCTCCTCCGTCCACAGCATAAACTAGGAGAGGTACACACACACACTATATACCATTGGAAATACCATTTAATTGTTGTTAAAGTGTGACAAGATGAAGATGCATAAAATAAAATAAGATTAACAGTTAAACCTGAGAATGACCATCTTAGGTAGCCAAAAACGGCCACCAGTCTAGCTAGATATGAAGTTAAAAGGGGTATGGACAATAGCAGTGTCTTTCTTAAGAGATCTCAATACTTTTTTGAGGTTCTTCTGCAGAGGCATCTCGGGAATGTCTGTTCTCTGCATCTTTTACTTGCATAAGTTGCTCTGTTTTATTCATTAATATGGACCCCACGTGCTATGTAGCATTTAAGTCGGAATTGATGGTCGGGTATTCATCAATACCAAAAAATATACATGTATGCATTATTTCTTCAAAACCAGTAAAAAAGCACTATACTAAAACATTTCAAATGCATGTGAACCTATGAAGCAATATTTTATTTAATGGCTCACAGAATGTAAAGGTACTTTGTTTGGTTTATGCTGTGGAAGAGCACCCTTTGCATTTGTTTGACTTAGCTTCTAAAAAGAGATCTTTATCTTCAGTTTTCTTTAGTTTATAACTAGACTCTGCGCGCAAGCTAGGATGCAGAAGGTAGTGGAGGAGGGGAACTAAGCCATTTGACACCACCCTGTATAGTATAGCCAATGTGTATCAATGATTATAGCAAGTGTGTATCAATGATTATATAGATGATTATACATCAATGACTAAACAGGGCGTCCACAGAAAAGTATACTCAACTTTAAAGCCAGGATACTAGAATTTTGAGTAATTTGTTTTCAAAAATATGTAGGTAGAAGTAAAAGGCCTGGTTTGTCCCTCATCAAATGGTACTTAGATCATTATGTAACTGTCATGGATGACTGGGCAGTCATGACCATTATGAAAGTTGGTAAAATCAGCACTGTGCCAAGTTAGCATTCAAGTAGGAATAACAGTGAATGCTTTTTGTGTGTTCAAAACATTATTAATGTTCAAATTCAAACTTGTTCCATGTTCTTCACACTTTTACAGAACTTTCCATAACTTTTTGTCGGTACCTCCCTCTCGGAAAATTGGACCCGAAGAGCTTCTTAATCAGGAATGAAACTTCTACTTGATGATATGCAGCTTTGAAGTCAATTGTATCCCCATGTAAATTCAATAGCCCTTTCTGAAATCCTCATTTTCTCGGAAAAACTCGAGTTTATTGAGTCTAAACAAGTAGATTCATGTGGGACAGTTTTGGTTGAATTCATTTCAATAATAAGAATAGGGTTTCTATAAACAGTACATTGGACTTGCTTTTTAGAACTTTTGTTGGCTCTACTGCTCAGTTGTCAGTAGAACCAGTTTTGCAGGCCTATTTTAGAAATTGTCAAACCTTTTTTCATAAATAACTTACTCAGTCCCCAGTTCAGTTCAATATAAAAGGCCTGTCCTCTAACATAATATAACAGAAAAAATACTAAACCAATCACACATCAATTGCAACACAGGAAGGTAACTTGCCACAGTACTAATTTTACCACCTCTCATAATGGTCTTTCGAAGTTAGCATTCGCAAGATTCTGAATTCTGAAGAAATAAAAATGCATTCCCAATGAATTTTAATATTTCTAGTATTGACCAAATAGCTTTATAGAATTCCAAAATCCGATCCAAATGAATTTAGTCATGCTAGAAACGACTCATTATGATTTAAAGAACATTCGATGCTTTTTCAAAAGTTTTAATATCATCACAAAAAATAAATCAGTGTTAAATTGAAAATATTGAGCAATTTTGTAAGAAATATATGATATTTCGTGAATAGTCTTCTGCTTGGACAGACTTATTTTTCCAATATGAGTGTTCACTGTTCGAAAAGGAAGGTGTTCAGATTTCAAGGCTTTTTAACACGGGAGTGAATAGGAGAAAATATGGGACCAGAAAATTGTTTGGATTGGCAAGGTGTTCGGATATACAGGTCTCACTGTATAATTTATTGAATTTAAAATAACATTAGCTAGCGAAGCATTTGGAAGATACGCTGATAAGAAGCAATGTGACGGTGTCTAACGTATACATAGTAGAGGACGTGGATGATCCAAGTGAAATACTTACAGCTATTAAGGTAAATATTATGAATACATATATAATATCTTTATCTGTAGTATGGTACGAACGTTTTTCCTTAACTCATCCTTACTCATCATACTATAAAAATACAATTAGTAGTACAAATAAAGTTATCTTCCTTTTCAGGAGTCTGGTGTGCGTATTATTGTCTTCCAAGTCTATCCCATCATGTATTATAAACTTTCATGTGAGGTAAGACAAATTGGAGAGGAGGAAGAAATAATTTGTAAAATGTATAACCATGTTAAGGAAGCGCTGTAGTTACTGGTATTCATACATCTTCACAGAATGTTTCCATCTTGTCTAGTGTCATGTTGAACGTTTGCCTAAAGATAATCTTTTTGTGAGAATCTCGTTGTTATTTACATTTTAACCCCGAGACCTTTCCCTGACCGTAACCTTATAAAGTAGAGTATACAGCCCCGTTAACTCTTATTGCAATTGAATAAGGAAATAACATACAGGGTGTCTCAAAAAATGTACCCAAAAGTATATCAACAGCACAGATAAAACAATCAATATTTCGAGACATTTTTGCATGGTCATTTACCTTTGGCTATGAAAGTTTTCTCTCAAATATAAATATACAGTTTTTAGTTCAGCCTTGCCTTTTAGATGTTTTAATTATAACCCTTTACTTTTTATTTAATATTTCGATGACAACCTGCGTCGCTATGCTACATTGTTCATCACATTTGATAATGTTTCAGTTGGAATGTTTTAAATTTCTCCTTGGATGTTGGCCTTACATTGCTCTAGGTTTTTTTGACTTGGGATTAGCTTAAATGCTCCTTCAAATAGCCCCAGAGAAAGAAGTTCGAGGATGAAGACGGCAGAACAATCACAGAGAACCAGGTCAATTATCGTCAAATGATTTAACAGTTGATAATGGAGTTCCACCTTCCAGAGTTGTGGAGACCGAATGATGTCCAAATGAAAACACCGTGATCTCAAAAAGATTAAAGCCCCTCCCCGTACAGCAAGGGCCATACAAGAATTCCCATGAAAGCAGTTTCTTTGATCTCTAATCTCTCTGTATAAAGACATTGTGAGGACCTCCCTATTCAACAGATTTGACACCCTAGACCTTTTCTCTGGGGTAACTTGTAGAATCAAGTTTATGCTAACTTAAGGCCAATATTCTGTGGAAAAATTCAAAAAATTTCATCAGACACATTATCGTCAAAATATGAGAAGGTTAAATTGAACGTGTGTAAAAGGGTTAAAGAAATAAAAAGGCAAGACTGAGTTAAAAAATTTAGTATTGCGGAGAAAACTTACAAGCTTTGCCTAAATAACCATGCAAAGCATATCTGAAAATATCTTTGCTGTTGGTACATTTTTTGAGACACCCTATATATATTCATATATATCGTCGCATGAGAATAACTTTGTATTATCTCACATTTTTACGGAACTGAGAAATCAAGGTTTGAAAGTTTAGAGGTCTGTATCTTACTTAGTATTGCTATGTGAAACTTGATTTTTTGTATGTCACCTGGTCTCACCCTAGAGATATCTTATATGAAGTATCATACCTTGAAACAATTTACAAGATCCTTTTTTAAAACTATGGAAATGGAGTTGATACAATTTCCCAATAACAGCTTATTTCTAATTTCAAATTGTCATATCTGATATCAACTGTTTCAACCAATCAACTCTCTAAGAATTGGTCATGTGACTTGCAAAACTTGGAGTTATAACAATCTTATATTAAAACAAAGTATGCCAATATGCATGTTATGTATCTAGAATGAAAAATAATGTTTTGCTTTGTAAAAAAATCTTCAAAAACCAAAGAATATTATTTAATAAAATAAAGAAAATTCAATTTATAAAACTTTAAAATAAATTTCTCAAATAAGTACAATTATTTCTTAATTTTGGAATCTCAGGACACTCTTCAAAAAGAATTTATTGCCTTTGAAACTAAGGCAGAAGTACAATGCATTGAAACCAATGATGCCAATAAGGTCCCCCACATATTTCCCTCGGTATAAACCCTGTAGCCTAAACCTCCCAGCACATTACAATGTAGCCCCTGGTCCGCTGGTCATTATCAGGTTATTTTTGATACAGACCAGTTGATTTTTCACTGGGTATAGGAGAATAACATTGCAACTGGTCCGTAATTCCATTTTGACCAGCAGGTTTCAGATCCTTAGGGCCTAAGACAAAACCAATTTTTATTATTACATGCACATGGAAGAAATTTGAAAATAGAAAAAAAAATTCTAATTCATTTTAGATTAATGAAAGTGATGAAACCTCGATTTAGGTAATCACATTTTGTTCATTGGGATGCAGCGATCATTATCCATTCATTTTCTGTTGTTTGCTGCTCTGTGGAGTACAATTGGGAATTGAAGCAATTTTAGAAGTGGAGACTAAGAGTGGCTCTTTTTAAAGAAATTGAACCAATTTGTTACTTTTCCAAAATAAAATGTAGATGATCTAAAAACAATGATCCCAAAAATGCAAAAGAAAGGACAAATCTGAAAAACATACTAGTAATAAAATAACTAAAAAGATCCCAGATGTTCAGTAAATCATAGATGAAGATAAAATAAAATAAGTGTTTTAAGGGACTATACTAACATAAAGATTACTCCTTATTGGTATAGTGTATGGCCAGTAAAAGTTAAAGCTAGTTTAAATAGATTTAGCTTTTTTCCACAAACTATAAAACATCATTTTGAAAGAGATTTCAATAGTATACAGACAGTGATTGCCTTTGAGCAATTTAGTGCAAAATATGACAGTTACTATTTGTTTTGATTACAATATCTAGTATATAACCTATTATTATGTACTCTATTTGAAGAAACAAATAAGTAGTCTTTCATTTTCAACATTTAATGATGACAGCTTCGTATATGCATTTCTATTGCATTTGGCCATTCAAACCCCTATAAGACCTGGTAGCAGGGAAGATAAAGGGTACTTTTTACTGCTCACATGATCTAATTAACTGGTCATTTGTACTTTTCATCTTCCCTGGTTGCAAGGATTTAGGTTTTTCGGGGAAATTAGTAATTCTATGTTATATCATGTGGCCATGAATAATCCAATGAGCATCCATAATACAAAGAGTAATTGAGGGCATATAATTTGAATATGCATGGGATTACACATACTGTATCATTTTATTTTTTGATCTACTTGTAATAGTTCTAAAACTAAGACATGAAAGGCCAGGCATGCAAACTGGCATGGTATTGTGTTACAAAACATTATTTCATTCTAGATACAATAACATGCATATTGGCATACTTCGTTTTAATATAAGATTGTTATAACTCCAAGTTTTGCAAGTCACATGACCAATTCTTAGAGAGTTGATTGGTTGAAACAGTTGATATCAGATATGACAATTTCAAATTAGAAATAAGCTGTTTGTCTGGAGATGGTACAAATTCACACTGAATTCTAGCTTAATGAGAGGGAATTGAGATGGGGCATGTATCTGAGATGAAAGCCTGTGTTTCAAATAGTAAAATTCCATGTCTATCTCAAATTTTTTGAAAATGGCAGTTAGTACAAAGTTATTCTCACGCGACGATATATACTCTATATATTTATTAAACTTATAGGCGTATAGGCAAAACATGCATGTTCCAGGATATGTGTGGATAGATAACAGACACCATGTAAGTTTTTCTTTTATCTCATACTTTTAACTCATGATCATTTGCGCATTAAGCATATTCTACTACTCTCATTCGTTTGTTCATAGGTATATATCTCTTTCAGTTTTTAATTCTATATAACTATTTGATTTCAAGTCTCAAAGTGTCAAGGATTACTTTGAATTGTATAGTGATGTCAACTGCACGTGGGATGAGATATTGACTTCCGTGGAAGGGATGTTCGCGACGAGTCCCATTTCATATCTGGAACTTTTCCCTAACACAATAACTATAGGTGGAAAGGTAAGTAGCAGAGCACCTCAAAACAGTATAAGAGATTCCATATGATGAATTCCGAAGAAAAGTAACGTGGTCCAAACCCCAAACGCCCATTTTATGATCTTTGCCTTATCTCTTTTGCCGACCAATATTGTAAACCTCGTATTCTTCGTTGTTTGTACGTTCAAATACTGCCGCAAGTTTGGCATGTGCTTGTCCTTCATTTGTATTATATTTGAAAGCCTTGCAAGAAACCACGAATCGAAGTCACCTTTTCCATGTATGTGCGTGAACTATATTTTGCAAATTTTGTGAAACCCCTTTCTAATTTGCATTGCGTTGCTTCGACACTTGAATCACCGTTGTCCATCTCAATACTAAAATATAGTAAATAATTTTAAAGTATAATCTGGTCTTTTTACAACAGAGTGTCAAAACGTTGTCTGAAATAGGCGGAATAAAAGGGGATGCAGCACGTCTGTACGGATATGACGCAATATGGAGTATGGCACTCACGATGAACAACACCATCAAAAGGATAGAACCACAGACATTAGATGAGTTTACATACAAACACAAAAATTATACAGATATTTTTCTAGAGGAAATGAAAAATCTGTCATTTACCGGTGCAACGGTACGTTTTGTTTAGCAAATTAATATTCCAATTTGGAATTCTTTCGTTGTTATTGTCATGTAAAGTATTAAAATGACAGAACCTTTATCATTTCAGGGGCCTGTTGAATTTTCTGCAGAAGGATCAAGGATGGAAAAATTAGTTTTACGACAAGTCAGAAGTAGGTTTTCCATGAATCTAGCAAGATTACCAAAATCCACGAATGCCAGTCCATCTAAGTATTCTATGTTGTTCCAGCATGTTAAATCATGACCACCTAGTCTCATGTTTATTAATATAAAGCATCTATTATATAGGGTGAAAGTATTAAGTATTCAAACTTATATATCGGGTGGGCATAAAAATGGGCCGTACGTTGATGCTTTGTTGTTCCATTAGGCCTATTCGTTGTTCAAGCCTTTTCAAACTTAAGAGATTCAAATGTCAAATGATGTTGTTAATATACAGGGTGTCAAAAAACAACGGCACCCCCCTCTACAGCAAAAAGTCCTGAATGGTCCATATCGTGTCATACCTCATTTGAAAGATAATTATCCCAACGAACGAAGTTCGATAGGGATATAGTGAAGCCCTCCGTCCGTCAGTCCGTCAGTCCGTCCGTCCGGAAGATAACTCAAATACTAGTTGACGGATTTTCTTCATATTTAGTGGAAAGATGTATATTGGTGCATAGTTTTACGCAAAAAATTTTTTTTTCAAGATGGCCGCCACTTTAAAAATGACGGGACTTTTTCGCAAAAATCATAAATTTTTCATTCTAAACCAAAGTAATTAATATTATTGTTTGAAATTTTGGTAGTATATTCGCAACATCTATCTGTTTCACATATATTCCGTGTTTTTCATCCTGACCCCCAGGGGCTGTGTATGGGGGGTCAGGAAAACAGAAACTTTCGCTAATTTTTAGATCTTTCTGAAGTATAGCTTTATTATACTCAAATGAAAGGCAATTAAGAGTGGATTGCAAATATTGTATCTTTTTCTGATTCAAGCCTCGTAAAATTCAAAATGGCCGTCTAATGTACGATTTCGCAATAATTTTTCGATCCCTTCAAAGTATGGCTATATTATACTCAAATTGAAGGAATTTTGGAGTAGATCACAATTATGGTATTATTTTTCAGATTTGTTCCTCAGAAAATTCAAAATGGCTGCTTTGCAGGAATTCGCAATTCTAAAATCTAAATTTTTCAATTTTAACCAAAGTAATGAGTATAATTGATTGGAATTCGATAATTGATATTTTGTTCGTTGGGATTTGCTACTCCGCGGTGTTGCCATTATCTAGTTTAATTCTGGAGTTACTCATCAAATTTCATTAAATAAAACTTAATATTAAAAAAGCTACATTGTTTCAAAGTTTGCTACTTCGGCACTTTGTTTGCTGCTCTGTTACTGGTTAAAAGTCAAATCTTCAGAAAGTGAAATATGAAAGAATTACCCCAAATTTCAACTGCACTGAACATATAGGTTCATTTCTGAAAAACAGGGTATAGGAACTGATGGACAAAGAGCCTCTTGAAAAAAGACAAAGTAATGATGTATTTCTGAAGAATGTGAGGAAAGTGCGAAGAGGGTTATGCAATACTACACCTTTATGTGAATTTTTTTTAAAATCATATCTGTCCTAATAAGCTGCTGTTTGAGCAGCAACTGGTGGTCATACCAACTACTAAGAATCAGCTGTAAATCTGTAAAATTATATGATATAAAGCTGAAATTTCTCAGGTAACTCCAGAATTAAATCGTCTTTAAAATGAGATATGACACACCATGTAACATTAAGTACTGTAGAGGGGGGTGCCGTTGTTTTTTGACACCCTGTACTGACCAATTTTGAAGGTCATAGCTTAAGTTATCTGTGAACAAAATTAAAATGAAAACATAACCTCAAAAACACAATCCGGTGACCAACATTGTATCACCTGTCAGGTATCATGAGTAGAGTGCGCGCTACATCAGTATGACACGCGTTAATCAGCCATAGGGTCAAAGAAAATGCATGCCTAAAAGTTATCACATCCTAATATATTGAAAGTGGGTGAAAAGACTGTTCAGGAAGTGGCGTGTTTTTAAATTTCACAACTCGTCATTGTAAAGAAAAAAGCTTTACTTTAAAATGAAATATCTTTTTTTCCCTAAACCTTGACATATATGCACCCAATATATCCCGCGAAAAGATAACTTATTAGTTCAAATGACTGTAACTTATTAGACCCCTCAAACTAAAAGCTCTTTACATAAGTAATATCATTTTATCTGCATATACGGTTACTCAAACAAATTGAACATAATAAATCTGCTGTGGTTTACAGATGGAACACATGTTCCAGTTGGTATATATGACGGAACAACACAAATTCTTGATCTTTTAAAGAGTCCCGAGTATATGTGGGAACCCTTTGGTAATACCATACCAAGCTCTAAACCTCGGCTAGAGCACACATATTTACGAGTGTCTAGAGTGTTGTTTGGGATATACGTAACCATTTCCGTTGTTGGAATTGCCATATGCCTGATCGATCTGATTCTAATGTTGATTTACAGAAGTCACAGGTAAGCAATAAATCGTCAATAAAGAGTTCAGTCATAGTATTCATAGCCCGAGGTTCAAAGGACAGATATAAAATATAGAAAATAGCTAACTAGTCGTAGACCTTTTTGGATAAAGTTGGATCAGAGAAATTCATCATGATCACTTTTAACGAAACTTGAATTTTTCCTGTACTGTACATATATTTTCCGTAGATAATGCTCAAATTGAAAGGAATATGTGTCATAATAGGTCTTCTCATCAATCGGAGTGAACACTAATAATTACATAACTCACACATAGCGGGACAAGGTGTATTCGATTCAGGCAAATCAGAACACAGTATTTCAAATAACTGCAGTGTATTATTCAACAAAACACTGCACCAAAAGTAATTCATTGAATAGCTGGCAATGGCTGTCAAGGTGACAACTTAACTATACAGATTGAAATTGATGCTTTGCCAAGTTGACCCTTGCAAAACGTTTCATTTAATGATCTTTTGGTATTTTCGTAAAAATATCTTGCAATGTGAGAAAATAATTTAAGCTCACAACTTGATACATTGTTGCATTCCCGGTGCGCGGTCATGGAAAGATTTGAAAACAACACCTTCAAAGAAATGATTCAGTCCACAATACACCGAGTCCTGGAGGGCTTAAATCCTTAGACCATTCATCCTTTGCAGTGGCATCGTACACGATTGGCCGATCATTAGAGTAATTGTGTGTTTTGGTTGTATTGTCCTTAACATAGCAGTTATCCTCATGGGTGTAGATGATTCTGATTCTAGCTCGAGGGTATACCAGGGTGCTTGCCAAGTAATATATCGTTTGATAATTCTATATTATAGAATATAAACATTGTAAATTGTAGTGACATTAGAAATGATCGTGAAAAGAATAAAATATTTTCAGGGGATAATATTTTTGAAACTCAATCAAACCTGACTGCTTAGGGTTTGTTTCTTGTGTGCTATATTATTTCTACACAATGCTTGCTTGTATTTCAGACTGCATCCTGGATGTTTGTATTTGGCTATACATTAGCTCTTGGGGGAATGTTAGTCAATTCAATTGCCACTTATCATTTCTACACTAAGGAAAGTGTTACAAAATCAGTGAGTACATAAAGTTTTCAATAAAGTATCTTTCTCTAACATAATCAGATGTCTAGTCGTGTCTCAGTCGTATTTCATTTTTTCAATTTTTTAGGTACAACAAGAGTTGAAATACTGTGCGATATTAGTGTCTTGCCTTCTGTTAGATATGATACTATTGATATTGTGGCAAGTTGTTGATCCGCTAACGATCAAGACAGAATTCCTACAGAAAGAGGTTGGTATAGAGAATGTGAACATGAGGCAAATATCCATTCATGTCCCTATTTCCATACTACCTTGAAGCATTATGTTCATAGAAAGTTTGAATTTAAAATTTAATATATTATATCTTGCCTCTGTACTGGTATTTTTGCTGATGGATCATTACACCAACGTGCTCTAGTTCATCAGACGTTCTTCCCATTGTCATAATCTCCTCAGGATGATAAAAACGATCAGATATTGTTTTAATCGGAAATGTTATTCGATGTGTCAAACTGTCAAACTATTGCATTGAAAACTGTTTATTTTACCCCAGACAATTGTTTCGGCTTAGTTTCCTTCGGTCTGTTGGAACTCGACATCATATTTTTGTTTTTTCAGATTCCAACTATGTTTTTGAGTCTTTTATTGTTTCAACTTACTACTTACATATTGTGTTTTAGTATGACGAAAGTCAAGATACAATTTTTCAAATAGCAATTGCTGTCTGTGATTCCGCGAAAATGAATGCTTGGAGAATTGTGATGATTGTGTATAAAGCAATTGTGTTGCTAGTTGCTACATTCATTACATGGCCCGCCTGGTAAGTTACGTCTTCTAAACATTGCCCATTTTGTAAATTGTTTTAACGTCATCGTATTTCTTTATCAGGCTTAATGTTTAGTTATATATGCACAAGTGCCAACGGAAAGGACATCAATTGAACACGTTACTGTCTGTCTAGCGTCATTTTTAAAATCTAGAAATGAGTTAATACATTTACAATACAAAAGGCATCATATCGTTCTTTCAGGCTCGCTGCCCATGGAAAGGGATATGTGACGGACCAGTATCTTGGAATCTGTATTTATGTGACCGTTCTTGCTGCCTTGATTGGTGTTCCTATCACACTTACTCTTGGACCTAATCCATCCGCACACTATGGTGTTGCTGGGGGTTTTATTCTGCTTTGTACCATTTCCACTGGAATTGCCATACTTTGTGCTGTTAGTACATCATGTTGCTTTTTAGAATTAAAATATGATGAAAATGTGACGCTGAATTCGTGTTGTCATTGATAATTTATTTGTAATGGAATCCGTATTATTTATTTTCAGATCTTGTTCGCAATGAGAAACCAACATTCCGGTGACACGTCTAGGTCTATTTCCCCAATTAATGGATTACTGAATGAAATCTCAGAGTCCAAGAAAACCACCCAGTAGGACTTTAAAGCAAGAATCATAAAATGCGCCTGAAATGAATGACACGTTCCTTTCCTTCTAGAACCGTGTTATATAATAATTAGAAACAGTGATTGCATCCAGTAGTTCAGCATCACTTTATGTTATATGTAGAGTGGGTGAAAATTCATATACGAGACTAAGGACTTCCTCACGATATATACCTAAGAAGTAAAAAAAATCGCAAGAAAAAATATATAAAGGGTTTTAGTGCCATATGGTTATTTTTTATTTCTATAAAATGACTACATGATTGTATGTTGCAAAGTTTACAAACAAGTGTCATAAGTATACGCTGTTTTTTAATCAACAGGTTTATTTTATAAGTATGCAAACAGTGCGTAAACAGGATGGGACAAATCGCCTTTCGGTATTTCATGTCCCCATATAAAAATGTTTACAATTTAAGACATAACTAGGATTTGAATATCTAAAGTTGGACAAATATAAAATATATATCTATTTTATCAAGTGTTTCTGTTTGCAAGTACGTATAATTATATGCAATTTAAACTCTTTTTTTAATAAAACTGTCTGCTTGTTCTAGTTTCGCACAAAATTTCACAAACATCAAAATCATATATACACTCCCCTCCATAAGCTTGGCAACATTTTTTCCATAGGCTTATGTGTCAAGACCCCTCTATGTTTGTATTTTTATTTTCATAACCTGCAATAGAAAAAAACTGATAATGAAGGCGGAGATGTAATTTTATTTGATTTCCCGTACCTCCAAACTTTTGCATGTTACCCGGGGTTACAGAGCTTCATAGTCAATTTTGGAAATCATTTTTCACCTCCTGTGTTATTTGAATGAGAAAGGTTTCTTGGAGAATTATTTTGACTTTGAAGACCAATAACTTTTTAAGACCTGAAGAAACACATTGATTTTGTATTAGATAAATTAGCAAATTCAACTGTGTCCTCAACTTGCATTTTTGAGAGAGCTCGGATGTATGGATATTTTATCATATGACTTGCGGCAATCCCACCAGTTCCCGCAAAAAGTATTATTGAAAAAATCGAGGGGGTTAATTTGATACCCCCATGCAGACATTAGCGTTAAAGCTGTTGTTAAGAAAAGGTAAGCAATATTTTAAACATATACCCTAACGTCATGATGACCCGTTGAAAATTCAATTGTGTCCTCAACTTGCATTTTTTGAGAGAGCTCGGATGTATGGATATTTTATCATATGACTTGCGGCAATCCCACCAGTTCTCGCAAAAAGTATTATTGAAAAAATCGAGGGGGTTAATTTGATACCCCCATGCAGACATTAGCGTTAAAGCTGTTTTTAAGAAAAGGTAAGCAATATTTTAAACATTTACCCTAACGTCATGATGACCCGTTGACTTGATTAATTGCAACATTCTTGTAATAGGATTTTAGGTAATATCCTTCAGATCCAGAGATTTATCCTCAGTTCCAAATTAGAGGTAGCATACATGTACACTCCCCTCCATAAGTTTGGCAACCTTTTTTCCCCATTGAACTACGTGTTAAAGCCTCTTTACGTTTGAATTTTTATTTACTTACCGTAACCGGCGATGAAATAACTTATAATATTGATGGAAACGTAACTTGACTTTAATTCCAATACCTCCAAATTTTCTCAATTTTTTTCCTCAATTACAATAGGTCGAAAATTGATGATAAATTTGATGACTTTTTGAAAATCGTCATTCCCATGTAATCCAATGGGAAATGGAGGGTTCGGAGCAAATCAGAAATCAGGATATCTTTTCAGTAAAAGATTCAGCAAAAAATATTTTTATATAGAAAATTGAATTGTCTAACTTTTTTTAACACTAAGTATTTAGTTTATTTGATGAATATTAAAGATACAGCGCTTCAAAGTCATGTTTGAAAATAATTTTTCGCCTCCTGTGTTATTTCAATGGGAGAGGTTTTTGAAAAACAATTTTGACTTTAAAGCCCTATAACTTTGTTGAACCTGAAGAAACATATCAACTTTTTGTTAATAAAGTTAGCAAATTCAATTGCCTGCCTAACTCGTATTTTTTGCAAGGACTCGGATGGATGGATATTCTGTCATATGACTTGCGGCAAACCTACCATTTCCCATTGGTTAACATAGGAATGTCGATTTTCAAAAATTCCTCAAATTCATCGTCAATTTCCGACCTATTGTAATTAAGGAAAAAAATTGAGAAAATTTGGAGGTATTGGAATTAAAGTCAAATTACGTTTCCATCAATAGTATATAAGTATTTTCATCGCAGGTTAAGTAAATAAAAATTCAAAGGTAAAGAGGCTTTAACACGTAGTTCAATGGGGGAAAAAGGTTGCCAAACTTATGGAGGGGAGTGTATATGTAACAAACTTGAAATAGTAAAATAATTAGCCATCCCGAATTACACATAAATATGTTATACATACCATAATTTATGTCAGTTGTGAATAAAACGTGTTTATTGAATAAAATGGTTATACCCTATCCTTATTTCACTACTAATTAAGGGGTAGAAATCATCTGAAAACATGTTTTAGAAGGGTGTTGGCATAATGTAGTGTAATGTTATCGGTACAGTAGTTTTTGATAAAGAAGCTGAGTGAAATAAATAGAAAGTATTACGTTTTTATGTTACTATTCATGAAGTAAGCGAATAAAAAGCATCTAATGTTCAACCAAAGTACCTGCCTTTATGCATAAAGCAATCTTGAAAAGATGGGCACATAATAATTTATACTAGACTTACTGAATATCGCCTTAATATATAAACATGAGGTTTTCATCTCTATGTCTGCTGACATTTGGAGTTATCGTTAGTAAAGGTGATGTTACATACCCTCGTCCTTCAGGTGAGTAAAATATTTAATATACGAGCTTTCATGATAGAGAGATTTTGGTCATACGTGAAAGCATAAATTATGTTTATGCGTATAGCTATACGTTATAACTTATAAGTATAAGTGAATTGAAGTTTGGCGTTTCGCAAAAATATGTACTTATACGTATAGAAATGTATATTTAATCGGTTGATTCTAATGTTATTTCACCAAGAATGAATTGTTTTCTCCTCCAAATTCCTTGTTCTTAAGGTGAATTAGATATTAATGTGAATTCATGCCAAATATCAATATGATTCACTAGCAATAACTTTGTCTAAACGAGATAAGTATATATTTATTCAATTATAAACAGCGTTTTATAAGTGATGACTTCGTATAAACGGAAAGAGCTGCGCGAAAATATGATGACATAGTATACACACTAGTTATACGTTATAAACATAAGGTATAAACATGCTATGAGTGCGGTTGCGAAATCTCTCTAATATGAATAGAATAGAATATTTATTGAGTACATTCACACCCCTGAGGGTCAGGTACAAGAAAGTGTACTACACAAAAAAGAATATATATGATTTAACACTAGACTACTATATACTGCATATAATATATGCTTAACTGTAAAATGTAAAATATGTGTTACTACAAAATGTTTTTGCGCAGCAGGAATTAGCCTTTCTAAATTAAGTATTACTTTCTAAAATTCGGAAGGCATCACTAATATATTTTGCAACCTTGATGCAATCTTGATTTATACAAGTTAAGAGGTATATAAATTGATTTGTTTGTGCTTTTGCCGTATCAGATAATTCAGTTTGAAGTAATAATCTTTCATTTTGATATTTTTTACACTTCATCATAAAATGTTCTTCATCATCAATAATATTGCAATGGACACACAATCTTTCTTCAATTGGGGTTTTCTTTGGTTTTGTATACCTCCCTTGCTCAATTTGGAGGCTGTGGGCACTTATTCTCAAACGTGTAAAGTTTCTTCGCATATTAAGTCTGTCGATTATATTTAAATAATGTTCATATTTAAAATCTTTCTTGAGGGTTCTGTAGGTTCGTAGTTTATTGCCGTTATCATTTTTCCTAGTGTCAGTGTTTAATCTATTCTTCCAGTACCTGTCAAATTTTAGTTTAAGTAATGATGTACATCTTAAGGTATCAATTGTAGAATCCACAGATTCAGAGCAATTTTCATTTATAGAGCAAATTATTTTGTTTACGTTTGAAACCCATGAGTTTTCTTCTATTTCTTTTGAGCAGTCAAAAGCTGCCTTGATTAGAACATTTTTTGAATCTTTAATATGATGTAAAAAGTTGAGAATTTGGCCAAATATACCTATAAATAGTGGATATCTTCCAAGTTCCCCATAAACAGCCATATAAGTGGTCTTTCTACCAACTCCAGCCCCTCGAATATAAAAATTCTGGAAAGAAACCCCCTGATCAGTAATTATGTTTTTTTGTAAAAACTATATTTCAAGAATAAAACATATATATATCATACATAAGTCTAATTACATTATTTAATTTCTGTACAGTTTTTCTTTTTCAAAATAAGCATGTATGCTTCCAGTTTTGTCTACATTGAAAATTTGTATTGCCCTCATGGCTATTAAAACCTCTTTATAATTCTTATACTTATTTATTCCTATAATTTGTTCAAAAGTGATATTATCAAAAATTTTCCATATATCCCTTATTTTTGTACACGCATAAAAATTATGTTTAACATTGTCAATTACATTGCAATTCTCACAAAATGAACTATCTCTAATTCTAAAACGATTTAAAATCTCATTACATGGATATATGTTGTGTAATGTTTTCCAGTGACGTGTCGCAAAAAGCTCGCACACGCATTGTTACACATTTTGTGGCGTAATCCAGAGGATCATCGCTTTTAACATGATAGAATGTGACGTTTTTGAGAAAAATGTACACACATGAAAATCCTTTCGTCCTCCACATTTACCTCTATATCTCAAAACATTTTAGACGAATAACTCTGATATCATATATATATTGTTAATGGGCTACAAGCATCATAAAACACGAATCAATTGATATTTTAGGTGAAATAAATATACGTGTTGCTGTGCTTGAAAATAGGCGAATGGCGTAAATTAGACCTATTTTAATGAATTTTGAAAACCTTTCGTCCTCCACTTTTCCACATACAACAGAAAACACATACTTTTGTGAACAAAATCAACTATTTATTAATAAAATAGAGTTTAGGAGCAAAATAATCATGTATGATTTATTAAAAATTGATCTCGTATTTTTTGTTTAATGTACACCTGAAAAGTTGAAGGTACTAAAAAATGAGCAAAAAAGGTCGCTGTCAACAGATTCTATTTTTCAGACTCTATGACATCACAATATGGGACGCTTACTAAAATTCATCCTTTGAAATAAAACTTCCATCTACCTTTATCAAGACGAAAAATAAGTAAAATAGTCATATATTGTTTGAGTTATGAGCGTTTAAAGACGAAAAATAATTCAAAATGTAACGTGTCAACATGGGATATTTGCCTGATGTTTTGGTAAAAAACTCTTTTTTAAAAACGAACGCACAAAAAATGTGAACGGAGTGTAGTTGATCTAAAATCTTCATCGAAACAGCTTTAAAATGATATATAACTTTAATTAGAATATTATCTTATAATCCGGGGAATCAAAGTTACATTCACGCGATACCCTTAAAAAACAAATGCGCCACCTTTTTGCGACACGTCAGTGAATAATTAAGAGTTTGGCATCTACTTTGCACTTGAATGCTCTAAGCCAAGTTGCACATGAAATATCCTTACCATTATACTGTAAAATCAATTTTCTTTTATCTGTACATAGTTTTCTAAAATCGGATGTTTCATAAAATGTTATCTCTTTACCATTTAAATATATTTTGAAATCATCACCTGCTTTTATATTACCATAAAGTAATATTACATTTCTATTGATACAATTTGAAATACCAGTGTATTGTATCAGTGTCAAAGGATTCCTACCAATAATCTTAGATATTTCATCATATGTCATTAGTCTATCATTGGTTACAATATCACTTACAAAATTTATACCTTTTGCAATCCAATTTGTAAAACAAATTTTATTTCCACTTATTTTTAACTTTTCATTATTCCATATAATTGATTGGTCAGATTCAGTTTTATAATTTTGCCAATGTACTATTGCACTTAAATACATGAAGTTCTGTTGCATATTTGCTATAGTAAAACTTTGGAAGACATCTCCAATGTCCATTACCTGGTAAAACTATCAGTTTAATCCATTTCAGAATAAATGAGACTTGCATATCATACATATCAATCATTTTCAGACCTCCATCTTTGTAATCTTGTACCATAAAATCCCTTTTAACATGTTCTGGTACAGATTTTAAATCCTCCTCCTTATAATTGCCTTTCGACCATATGAACTTAAAAAACATGGTGTTCATTCTTCTTAATATGTCGTCATTGAAAATAAAACTTTGCATTAAGTACATGAATTGTGATGAGACTAATGATTTAATCAGTGTGATTCTGCCTAACATAGTTAAATTACGCATTTACCAAATTTTTAGGATATTTTGACATTTGGCAAATCTTGGTCTGTCGTGCTATATAAAATGCCTAAAATTTTGAATTTGTTGTTAGGATAAATATTCCATTTTACATTATAAATTGTATCCTCCCTAAACTTCCATCTCCCTAACCATAATGCTTCAGTTTTTGTTCTATTTAATTTTAATCCTGATACTAATGCAAAAATGTCAGAAAGTTTAAGAATAAATTTTAATGATAGTTCATCATGAACAAATATGGTGGTATCATCTGCATATTGCAATAATTTCAATTCGCTATCATTCGGCAGTTTAACACCAATCACATTTTTATTCTGACGAATATTACAAGCCAAAATTTCTGAAGATATGACATATATCAAAGCAGATAGTGGATCTCCCTGCTTTGTGCCCCTATTTAGTGGAATTCTACCATGAATCCATCCATTGTAATTAATATAGCTAATACAGTTATTGTTGATTGCCTTCACATAGCTTATAAAAGTATCACTAAATCCAAAAATTGAAAGTGAGTCATACATAAAATCCTTAAAAATACTATCATAACATTTTGAGTAATCAGCAGATAGCAATATATATTCCTTGCTTATATTCATTATCTAAATAAGTTAAAACATCATCAATAGCCCTCAATATTGTGCTACTAGAGCGTCCTGTAATGTACCCACATTGGTCTTCATTTACTAACATTGAGACAACATTTTTTATCCTATTTGCAAAGACTTTAATACATATTTTATAATCCACATTATTAAGTGTTATAGGACGCCAATTTTTCAAAAAATTGCGAGAAGTATTCTTTTTTGGTAATAAAGTGATAGCACCTTCTGATGCAATTAAATGATATAGACCCGGAATTGGAGACTATTCTATTTTTTAATTATTAGAACAATGAATTACATAATTGTTTGTTCATTACTGCAGAGTTGAATGCTACTAAGCCGAACATACTCATAGGAGGTCTCCTTCCATTGGACATCACCTTTTCAAGACGTTTAATGACTGCTGCACAAATCGCAATAGATGAGATCAACAAAAGAAATAACGTGCTTAAAGACTACAATCTAGTACTGCACATGAAAAATACATCAGTGGGTGAACAACTTTCAGATTACATAATTTCAACAAGATTACAGTTGTTTACAATCTCGTCTAATTCCTTTAACAAGTACAAAAAAATTATAGTATGTTGTTTTCTATTCATTGGTACTCTCACGCCCAGGGGCGTGATGATCTATAATTTGCAACAAGCAATGTTTGACTTTATAGCGCTATAAAATATATTATTAGATTCCAGATTGAAAATTTTTCTCAGCAAGTTTTCTCAGTAAGTAGACGAATTAGTAAATCTAATTATACCATCAGTTAGGGTATTGGACTAGCCTACTCTGAAATAAGTTAAATTTTATCGAGGTCAAAGGTCAAAATCTTGGTCAAATTTACAATAAATCAATTATCTTTGTTTTAGTGTGTTATTTTTCTTTCGATTTTTTCATCGTGTAGCTCAGAAAGAGCACTTTAAGTGAGCCCACTAGTTTTTTTTATTACTCTTAGGAATTTTGAGAAATTTGACTCCCAATAAAGGGTGATAATTGTTTCTTGATTGATATAAATTTAATAGAAAATTTGCTCAGGAGTCCAAATCTAAAATCGAAATTTGAATCCGACTTCCGGTTGACATTTATGACCTAATTTTAAAGTAAACTTAAATTTTAAAATCTTTATTTTGACTTTAAGATAGGTTTAAACAAAATAAAAGGACCTTTAACAGTCAGTCAACTTAAAATTTTGAGTGTCAAAGGTCACGTTCAAAATCTAGGTCATTTTCTTAATTTTCTCAATCACCACGCTACTCTTCAATATTTTGCTTTAAACTCGATAAGAATAGAACATCACATTTTCTTTCTCATTTCTCAGCAATATCAAATGTCAAAATCATTTTTAAATAAAAATCTGGATTCTGGAGTCTTGAACTGAACTTTGTTAAAATTTACAAACCTAGTTATCCTAATGTTTCTAAATATTTTGCATGTTTAAACTCACGACATTTATTGACAAACTAATATTACAAAGTGTAATATGCTTTTGCAGGCTCGACATGCTCCAATGGGTGGACCCGAAGCCGAGCGACTTTCTACAATTAAGACCCTAGAGTATTTGGATGGTAATCCAATGGTTCATATGGTATTTGGTGGTCTATTTATTGCCACCACAGAGAAGTCGGCATACCTAACCAGTCTTATGAATATAATGCAGGTGATGTTCCATCTAATGATCAGTTAGTAGCGTTGATTAAATATTTTTATTATGTCCACTAAACAGTCCATATACAAACGCGGATCCAAGGGTTTGTGCTCGATGGGGCGTTCACATCTCGGAAAATGCGCGAGAATGAATGTCGTGCGTACGCTTTGGGGGTGCAATCTGAGCATTTTGAGTGATGATCATATGCATATAAAATGTAGGGTATTTCATTTACTTACACGATCATTCTACTGTAGACCCTACATTTTTTTTTTAAAGTTTTTATCAATTGCATAGTTTTCAGTTGGTTATTTCCAGTTTCACAACTCGGATCATTTTTCATATAACCCTTTGCTTTTGACGATTATTTACTATTTAAAATATCTTCAATAAAAGAAATTACATGAATACATGGCTACGGGCCTTATCACTTACATTTCAAGAAACACGTACATATATATGATGCTTATAAACATGTTCATGATTGTGCCGAAAAGGTTGGAATGTTTTATGCTATCTCGGGAATTAAATCAGGTAAAAAGAAAAATCTTACCGAACTTTCCAACTGGAACCGTAGCATAATCAAGTGCAGTACCAGTGTGGGTGTCATCTCTGTGGAATTTTAATTCATTTTATATTTTTACTTAGGTCGCAGCAACGACAAGCTCGTTAGCTCTGTCTGATAAAAAGAGGTAAATATAGCCTACTGACTAAAAATAATTACACGATTTTTAAGTATTACTATAAATGGCTTTCCTTATTGAAGAGGCAACAACTGTATTTTCGATACTGCACAAAATCAATCTGCTTCTCGACTCTAACTTTTGTCAACCGTATATTTTAGCATTTTCTAAGAACCTTATGTAACAAACGTCATAAAGAGATGGTAAAGTCACCTTTATTTTTCTATTAAGAGAACACTTTAGATCTAATCTGCACAGTTTTCCTCCCTAGTTACTACCCATCCCCGGTTAACCCCCCCCCCCCTTCAATCACCTCTAGAGTACATATTATGAAGTCATCGTTGTGGTGATTTAGTACTTGAAGTAGATGCTACTTAGTCGATTATCATAAATAAGATTTAACCAAACTATGTCTTGATAATCGATCTTTTTAACGAATTGTGAATTTAAATTAAATTCAGTTTCTTCATCGAATTAAGTTTAGTTGGTCAAATTCTTTTTTGGAATCATTAACAAGATGCCAAGAGTTCACATCTGACTTTCGATGTCATGATTGATTTTCTTTGACCTTTTGTTAAAAGTTGATATGACTCAAAAGATTCGATTTGAGTAAATCAATTAACTTGAAATAAACCCAAAGAGGTCAGATAATGCATATTTTTTAGGTCTTTAATGACATTTTAAAATACGAATTCCCAAGAGTTCATAATTTGGCATTTGTGAGATATCACAGCATCCAATCAGTTTAGATTTGACAGGCATACTTATGTCTCTTGCTTACCACCTTCGTTTGTTCGATTTTTTCCAAAAACTTCACTTCGATGGGATGCTTTAATAATTGGTGTAGACTTATACCGTACACCTTTTAATTTTTATCTTGATGTACAATAAGAAGCTATGATATTGGTTAACACGCCAGAAGTGAACATAACATCATTCGAAGCCAGAGGCCGGGAGAAACACCAGGGTTCAAAGATGACATACGCTTATAATATAAATCTGTATTGAGATGACATCGTCGCTGATTGGTCAAAAGTCGACAAACAAATGACGTCATCAATGGCGGTTTTAAAATTTTCGAAATACGCTTCGAATAATATTATGCTCATTTCTGGCGTGTTAACCAATATCATAGCTTCTCATTTCACATCAAGATAAAGAAAGGTGTACGGAATATACCTATATCAATTAAAACATCCCATCGAAGTGAAGTATTTGATAACTAGCCGATGAAAATTCGAACGAACGAAGGTGGTAAGCAAGAGACGTAATTATGTCTGTCATCTTTAAACTCTGGGGCTTTCCCTCCTCTTATTCGAAGCGTAATCGAAAATGTTGAAGCCGCCATTTATTACGTCATTTGTTTGTCGATTTTTGACCAATCAAAGATGTTTGTCATCTCAATACAGGCCATTATAAGCGTATGCCATCTTTGAACTCTGGAATTATTCTCTATTCGTTCATGGGGTATTTTTCTCACCCAAACGTGAAGTTTTCGAATAAGGATCTGAATGGATGCGAGGATTCGATGTGCTGTGATTTGAGAAATTATTTTAAACTTTGTCAATTTAACATGTATCTCAGTGGGTGAAAAAGAAAGTTGCTTTCCATCTGAGGTTAATTATATGCGATGGTCGGTTTTGGATATGGGGTATATCCCTCTGTAAGGTATCTTTATTTACCTAAGGATATGGCCGATATCCAAAAGCCGGCCTCCCATAACATATACTAGTAACCCTCGTATAGGCTATCACTTATGGCCTTCATGTCACCACCTGGAGGTGAGGACATTCCTATTTTGAATTTGGCGCTTGTTGTTGGAGTTCGGCATCAGTAATATTTTTTACACCTTTGGAGGCAATAACTAAGAGATGATATTTTGTCCTGTGAATGGCTCGCTTATATTATGTTTTAACCTTTTTGTAGATATCCATATTTTATTGAGTTAATTTTGGATGGTACTCGTCTCAACGATCTAGTTGCCCACTTTGTCATGGAGAATGAATGGCACAAGGTCATGATCATCTCTGACCTGGGATTTGATGATGTAAGTCCCCTGGCAATATTTATTACTCCATATTTGCAATAAAACAGCAATTTCTACTGAGCTTTTCAAGTTTTATTGTACAGAACATTTCCGGCATGGAAATTAAATATCATTAAGTATCATGATTCCTAGTTTTGTGTGCACAACGCCATTTGACACCATGCATGGTACAGTATACTTAAGTAGTTAATATAATATTATATCAATGATTATAGTAGCCCAGACAGAATTGTTCAAGGGTCACTTTTTAATAACTTTTTTAATTTTCAGTATTAACAAAATCTGATTTCATATTTGAAAATAGAGTAAAATTCTGACATCCAAAAAATATTTCAGGAACAGCTGATATTGATATTTTAGGCGTTCATAGTATGACTGACGCAAATGCACAATTCATCATTTTGCTTCATATTTGTTCAAAGCTGTGGCATATTTCGTGAATTTTGATGTTCAGTTGAAAGTTAATATTTAAAGAATGTAGAAGGGCTATAGGGTCATGTTACAATCCTGTTGCAATACATTAACTGACCAATCATCAAACACAAGAAGTTATACCCCCTTCAAAGGTCATGGACTCAATTCTATTGAGATGGCCTGAGCTACTATGGTACATAAATAGTAAAACATGTAATATCTAGTGCCATTGGAAAATCGGCTAAAATCGTTATTAGGAGGTGTTCCGATTTCGAGGTTTTTGCATTCGCAAGATTCTGGATTTAAAAAAATATATAAATGCATTCTCAATGAATGTTAATGGTCAGTTATATTATGGTATCATAACAAAAAGGAGGTGCTCAGATTTCAAGGCTTTTTAACATGGGAGTCGATGGCAGGAAAAATGGGACCGGGAAAAAATGTTTGTTTAGATTAGACAGGATGTTAGGATATACAGGTTTCACTGTATATTCTAATTAATTAATAATTTTAGCTGGCGAAGCATTTGGAAGATACGCTGATAAGAAGCAATGTGACGGTGTCTAACTTATACATAGTAGAAGACGTGGATGATCCAACTGAAATACTTACAGCTATTAAGGTAGATATTACGATAACATATCATATTTTTATCTGTTGTATGGTACGAACGTTTTTTCTTAGCTCTCATTCTTACTCATCATACTATAGAAATACAATTATTAGTAAAAATATAGTTATCTTTCTTTTCAGGAGTCTGGTGTGCATATTATTGTGTTCCAAGTCTATCCCATCATGTATTATAAACTTTCATGTGAGGTAAGGATAAGACAAATGTGACAGGGGGAAGAAAAATGAAGACAATTTGCAAATTAATGTTAAGGTGGCCTAGCTACTGGTATTCATACATCTTCTCAAAATGTTTCCCTCGTGTCTGGTGTCATGCTAAACATTTGTCTAAAGATAATCCGAAATGGACTTTTTGTGAGAAGCTCCTTGTTATTTACATAATAACCCAAAGGCCTTCCCTGACCTTGATCTTATTAAATAGAGTACTTAGTATAGTATATAGCCCCTTGGAACTCTCATTGAATATGGAAATAACATATACCCTATGGTCCAAAAAAATCTGTGCGCCGCCATGCAATGCTCATAACTTCTGATAATGGAAACCATACAATTTCATACTTTCAGGGTTTGACGCCCTATATGTACCAAATATGTGTGTAAAATTTGGATAAAATGTATCGAACATTGAAAAAACTAGAAATCAGTAATCATATTGACCACATAGATCACTGCTGCGACTATCTTGGAACTTTTCCTCATTTTTGCTAATTCAATGGATTATTTTCTCATATCACTTAGTACATCAAACATCAATTAAAAAACTTGCCAATCCAAAAATTTGTCACAAGTAATTAACAAGTAGAAGTCTTTTCGCCCTTATTGTTTCAATCTTTCAGTCTTTTCAAGTTGAGAACCACTCGGTATCAACTTAGGACGTCCATATCCCTTACGTCTTAGCAATCCATTGCATTACCAGATGTAGCTTTGGCAACAAGAATCGCTGGCATACTATTATCCCTACTAATTCCATACACCTTAGCTAGATCAGAGAATGGAGGCTTGGACATCTTACTTATATCTTCATATTTAATACCACTTTACTTTTTTATTGTCACTGAAAATGCTAAAAGACATTTCTGTTTTACACTATCTGTATAACGTCATTCAACCTATTTCTACATGTAAACTCTCAGACTAAGCTGATATTGTGGACTATTGGAATAAGCAATGAAGTAAAAAAAGTGGAGGTTAAATGTTGCAAGTTGCGGTTGAAAGTTGCCAGCTACAGTTGAATAGTATCTAGCTATTGTTATGGAAGCTCTGATAGTGCATTTTTGAAGATATTAAAAGACTTCTGGCTTTTAATAACTCAATCCATTAAATTAGAAAAAATGAGGAAGAGTTCCAAAAAGTTAAAGCAGTGATTTGTGGGGGTCACTATGAGAACCAATCTCTCATTTTTTCAATATTCCACCTATTTTATCCAAACTTTACACACATCTTTGGTACACATAGGGCACCAAACCCTGAAAGTATGAACTTGTATGGTTTGCATTCTCAACAGTTATGAGCATTTCATGACGACGCATATACTTTTTGGACCAGAGGGTAATTCTATATATTTATTAAACCCATAGGCATATATGCAAAACATGATTGCTCCAGGATATGTGTGGATAGATAACAGACATCATGTAAGTTTATGTTTTATCTCAAACGTTTAACTCATGAGCATTTGGCATACTACTCCCATTTGTTTGTTCATAAGTATAATATATCTTATGTTTTTAATTTTATATAATTATTTGATTTCAAGTCTCAAAGTGTCAAGGATTACTTTGAATTATATAGTGATGTCAACTGCACGTTGGGTGAGATATTGACCTCCGTGGAAGGGATGTTCGCGACGAGTTCCCTTTCCTATCTGGAACAGTTCCCTGACACAATAACTATAGGTGGAAAGGTAAGTAGCAGAGCAACTCAAAACAGTCTAAGAGATTCCAAATGATGAAGTCCGAAGAAAAGTAACGTGGTCAAAACACCCATTTTATGATCTTTTACTGACCTCTTTTGCCGACCAATATTGTAAACCTCGTATTCTTCGTTGTTTGTGCGTTCAAATACTGCCGCAAGTTTGGCATGTGGTTTTCCTTCATTTGTATTATATTTCAAAGCTTTGCAAGAAACCACGAATCGAAGTCACCTTTCCATGTATATGCGTAAACTATATTTTGCAAATTTCGTGAAACCTCTTTCTAATTTGCATGTGCATTGCTCCAATGCTTGTATCTTTGTCGATCTCTTACCCAGCAATATAATAAGTTATTGAATGATTTGAAGTGCAATACAGGATATATTCTGCTCGAGAAATTCCGTATTGGAACGAGACGAAGTCGAGTGGCAATACAGAAAATCGAGACAGAATTTATCCTGTATTGCAATTCAAATCATTCAATAACGTTTTTATCTTGTGATCCTCTGTATTGCTACTGAGATTGTCCTCCGTACCAATATGTTCTGTATTGCTACGGAGCTGATCAACGGGGACAATCTCAGTAGCAACACAGATTGGTACAGCACAAGAACTGACCAATCAGAGGGCTTCATTTTACAGATCATACGATAAAATAATATATCATCTTGTCTTTTTTACAACAGAGTGTCAAAACCTTGTCTGAAATAGGCGGAATAAAAGGGGATGCAGCACGTCTGTATGGATATGACGCAATGTGGAGTGTAGCACTCGCCATGAACAACTCGATCAAGAGGATAGCACCATACACATTAGAGGAGTTTACATACAAGCACAAAAATTATACAGATATTTTTCTAGAGGAAATGAAAAACCTGTCATTTACTGGTGCAACGGTACGTTTAAAGTGCCTGATAAATTATAAAATGCGCATGCGTCCAGGTGTTGATAAACTATAAATAGCGAAAACCCAGGGTTTGTCATCACAAGGTAAGCCAGGACGTGTTGAGCGAACATCTAGTGTTGATATTGAATTTACATGTAGCCAGATAAGTTTCCTTATTGAAATTACATATAGTTATTAGCAATACTTTGTAGGTGATAATTAATAAAATATGAGTATATATGAGAGAAATTGGCCATTTTGAACCTGTTGAAAGTTTTTGGCTCTCGGCTACACCGGGGAATTTACTTCCATGAGTACAGACACAAATGTGGGGCTCCCCAAGAGGTACGCGAGAAGGTGACCTGGCATCAAATGTACGACTAAATGCTTCTATCGAGTAGATAAAAGAACGAATACGACAATAAGTTATTGCAAACGACAATAGACTAGATGCGAGTAGAAATGATCTTGATTTACGTCATTAAATATTCAAAATTCAGTCAAAGTGATGTCATAATTGAAATTTACATGTAAAAATACATCTTAAAATATGGTTTCGAAAATTGTTTATCAACTTTAAAAATCTAATCTTTTTTGAAAATGTGACTTCTAGTTCGGGTTGATTCCCCATAGACCCCATATTACAAAATCACAAAAAGTGAAATATCTTTTCTTTTATTGGACATATAACATTTTCTTTTAATGGACATACTTTAATTTGCATAACCATTCGATACATAAGAGCTATATGAAAATCGAACCACTAAAACAGATGTAATTTAAGTTAAAGGGAACTTTCTACTATACCCGCCATGCTATCTGACCCGAGTGAGCCACCTGGTGGTGAAACTGTTAACTATCTACTCGCATTTGCGTTATTCCGAGCATTCATTTCACTGAAGTATTTTGAAGTGAAGAAAATATGATTTTTGTTTTGAAACATGGATTCAGATGAATGTAACTTCATTCTGACAACTAATCAAAACTGAACAAAATTGATTATACGTAACAGACGATTTATTGTTTTACAATGTTTTGATCGGCTAAACGAATGAAACCAAGAAATTATGACACGTAAAATGGCAATTTTGAAATGTAAAATTTAAAAGTGACAAACACAACCTCCCTATCCACTCTTTATGAGCCCTAATATGTACATGCAGCAGTGGTAGTGTACAGCTTATTATCACTCTACTGGGCTTTGTATTCTAAAGCTTGTTGTTTTTAATAACACTGTTCACTCGACGTAAATGTTTTGTGTGTGCGCAGTCAACGATAATCATTGTTTTATCCCGGTTATATGACCTCGGCAATTATAAAAAAACCGTACCAAACGAAAAAAACGCAAATAAGAGAAAGCTTTCACACACATATAAAAAATGAACTAGTCTAATCCGCCAGTATAAACTCTGTCATATACGTAGCCAGGTCGGGCGCACACTTTAAGCAAATTAGCAAATTAATATTCTTATAGATGTTCTTTCGTTGTTATTGTCATGTAAAGTATTGAAATAACAGAACCTTTATTTATCATTACAGGGGCCAGTTGGATTTTCTGAAGAAGGATCAAGATTGGGAAAATTAGTTTTACGACAAGTCAGAAGTAGGTTTTCCATGAATCTAGTAAGATTACGAAAATCCACGAATGTCAGTTCATCTAATTATTTTATGTTGTTCCAGCATGTTAAATCATGACCACCTAGTCTCACGTTTATTCTTAATTAATTAGCATCTATTATATAGGGTGAGCCCTAAAATATTGCAATTTTTTTAAAAGGCTGGAGAAGTATCATAACATTAAGGTATTGGCGTAAACGTTCATTTACAGAAACTCCAGGAGATGTTTATTTTACTATTCAAATACTTTAGATAACACTGACTTCAATTTCTTTCATCAGATCTTTGAATCGATTGTAAATTGTTCACGTGTCCGAGATTAACAGTTTTTCCTAGAAAATGTGACTTTCTATGATACTATGTGATCAACAAACACATTCATTATCATATGTTCATCAATCTGCTACACTCATCGCTAACTGTTTAACCAATGTCTAGTACATGTTTTTATCAGTATCTAGTCACTATGGTATTATTTTAGTATACTGCATCTATTGTTTATTTATTAAACAAGTGTTCTATGCATCCGCTTGAATCACCTTCACTATCGCACGTAGACGAGAGCGGAATTGGTCAATGACGTGAGCCAGCAATTCTTGTGATAGTTCTCTCTCCGCCCAATACACCACCTTAAGTATTCCAACCTTATATTTCGGGTGGGCATAAAAATGGGCCGCACGTTGATGCTTCGTTGTTCCGTTATTTTTTGTTCAAGCCTTTTCAAACTTAAGACATTCAAATGACAAATGATGATGTTAATATACTGACCAATTTTAAAGGCCATGCTTAAGTTGTCTGTGAACAGGATTAAAAAGAAAACATAACCTCAAAAACACAATCCGGTGACCAACATTGTATCACCTGTCATGTATCATGAGTAGAGTGCGCGCCTCATCCGTGTGACACGCGTTTATCAGCCATATGGTCAAAGAAACTCTTCTGCTAGATAGGCTCAGGTTTTGCTGAATCAATATGTTTTTCTCTACTGCAGGAATTGATTGCCGCATGTTTCAATGAAAAGGGTTAGAGAGGGAGAAAAACTAGTAAAAAAGTTCCATAAACAATGTGATCAGAAAATTAAAAGGACATGTTCTGTAGAAAGGAAGTCGGGCAGTGGATGACCAAAAAATGATTTCTTCCTAAGAACCTGGGATTAAAATCATACAAGCGAAAATGGACCTTCATCAGAAGGAATGACACGGTTTGACAGAATAGAAAACACGCTACAGAATGTGTAGAAAATTACCCTTGTGGATAAAAAAGACTCCATCTGAGTGAGATTGCGTGCAATAGACAGGTGGTCGCGTTGATGGCAAACAAAAGCAGGACTTCTTGTTAAAAGTCTGCTGGAAAAACTTAGGGGATACAGGACTCGATCAGTTCATGAAAAAAACGTTTGCGCACCATCAACCGAGAAGGGTATAGAAAATTGATCACCTTTTCAAGTGAAACAAGAAAGAACATACTTTTGAAATGTCTGGAACAGAATGTGCCTTTTTAAATCACCTTTTTGATTTTGGTCCCATGGATAGACATTTTAAAGGATGAAATTAAACTCGGTCTATATATTTGGGACATAATGGTATTTGGGTGTACACTTTTGAAGAAGATGAGAGGGTTTCGGAGATATCGAGTGTCAAAAGTAGGGCCCATATTTTATGCCCACCAAATATATCCCGCGTAAAGAGAACTTAATTAGTTAAAATGACTGTAACTTATTAGACGCCTCTAACTAAAAGCTCTTCACATAATTTATTTATAATCATATCTGCATATACGGTAGTACTCAAACAAATTGACCATAATAAAACTGCTGTGATTTACAGATGGAACACATGTTACAGTTGGTATATTTGACGGAACAACACAAATTCTTGATCTTTTAAAGAGTCCCGAGTATATGTGGGAACCATTTGGTAATACCACACCAAGCTCTGAACCTAGGCTAGAGTACACATATTTACGAGTGTCTAGAGTGTTGTTTGGGATATACGTAACCATTTCCGTTGTTGGAATTGTCATATGCCTGATCGATCTGATTCTGATGTTGATTTACAGAAGTCACGGGTAAGCAATAAGGATAAACCGTCAATAAAGAGTTCAGTCATAGTATTCATAGCTCGAAGTTCAAAGGACAAATATAAAGTATATAAAATACTTGACTGATCGTAGACCTTTTTGGATGAAGTTGGATCAGAGAAATTCATCATGATCAGTTTTAACAAAACTTTAATTTTGATTGTATATATTTTCCGTAGATAGTGCTCAAATTCAAAGGCATATGTGTGCGGCACATAGGTCTTCTTATCAATCCGAGTGAACAGAAATAATTATATAACTCACACATAGCGGGACAAGGTGTATTCGATTCAGGCAAATCAGAACACAGTATTTCAAATAACTGCAGTGCATTATATAACAAATCACTGCACCCAAAGTCACTCATTGAATGGCTGGCAATGGTTGTCAGGGTAACAACTTAACTATACAGGTTGAAATTGATGCTTTGCCAACTTGATCCATGCAAAAAGTTTCATTTAATGATCTTTGAGTTGATTTCGTAGAAAATATCTTGCAATGTGTGAAAAGAATTTAAGCTCACAACTTGATGCATTGTTGCATTCCCGCTGCGCGCTCATGCAAGGATTTGAAAACAACACCTTCAAAGAAATGATTCAGTCCACAATACACCGAGTCCTGGAGGGCTTAAATCCTTAGACCATTCATCCTTTGCAGTGGCATCGTGCACGATTGGCCGATCATTAGAGTAATTGTGTGTTTTGGTTGTATTGTCCTTAACATAGCAGTTATCCTCATGGGTGTAGATGATTCTGATTCTAGCTCGAGTGTATACCAGGGTGCTTGCCAAGTAATATATCGTTTAATAATCCTATATTATAGAATATAAACATTATAAATTGTAGTGAAATTAGAGATGATCGTGAAAAGAATAAAATATTTTCAGGGAACAATATTTTTGAATCTGGCTGCTTAGTATAGGGTTTGTTTCTCGTGTGCTATATTATTTCTACACGATATTTGCTTGTATTTCAGACTGCATCCTGGATGTTTGTATTTGGCTATACATTAGCTCTTGGAGGAATGTTAGTCAATTCAATTGCCACTTATCATTTCTACACTAAGGAAAATGTTACAAAATCAGTGAGTACATAAAGTTTTCAATGAAGTATCTTTTTCTAATATAATCAGATGTCTAGTCATGTTTCAGTCGTATTTCATTTTTTAGGTACAACAAGAGTTGAAATACTGTGCGATATTAGTGCCTTGCCTTGTGTTAGATATCATACTGCTGATATTGTGGCAAGTGGTTGATCCGCTGACGATCAAGACAGAATTCCTACAGAAAGAGGTTGGTATAGAGAATGTGAACGTGGGGCAAATATTCATTCATGTCCTTATTTCCATACTACCTTGAAGCATTATGTTCATAGAAAGTTTGAATTTGAAATTGAATATATCATATCTTGCCTCTGTACTGGTATTTTTGCTGCTGGATCATTGCACCAACGTGCTCTAGTTCATTAGACGTTCTTCTCATTGTCATGACCTCCTCAGGATGATAAAAATGATCAGATTGTTTTAATCGGAAATATCATTTGATGTGTCAAACTGTAATATTGCATTGGAAACTGTTTCTTTTACCTCAGACCATCGTTTCGGTTAAGTTTCCCTTGGTCTGTTGGAACACGCCATCATATTTTTGTTTTTTCAGATTTCAACCATGAGTTTTTTGGTGTTTCTCCTAACTTACATATTGTGTTTTAGTATGACGAAAGTCAAGATACAATTTTTCAAATAGCAATTGCTGTTTGTGACTGTCAGAAAATGAATGCTTGGAGAATTGTGCTGATTGTGTATAAAGCAATTATGTTGCTAGTTGCTACATTCATTACATGGCCCGCTTGGTAAGTTACGTCTTCTAAACATTGCCCATTTTGTAAATTGTTTTAACGTCATCGTATTTCTTTATCAGACTTAATGTTAAGTTATATATGCACAAGTGCCAACGGAAAGGACATCAATTGAACACGTTACTGTCTGTCTAGCGTCATTTTTAAAATGTATATTTGAGGTAATACATTTACAATACAAAAGGCATCATATCGTTCTTTCAGGCTCGCTGCCAATGGAAAGGGCTATGTGACGGTCCACTATCTTGGAATCTGTGTCTATGTGACCGTTCTTGCTGCCTTAATTGGAGTTCCTGTCAAACTTACCCTTGGACCCAATCCATCGGCACACTATGGTGTTGCTGGAGGCTTTATTCTGCTTTGTACCATTTCCACTGGAATTGCCATACTTTGTACTGTAAGTACATCGTGTTGCTTTTTAGAATTAAAATATGATGAAAATGTGACGCTGAATTCGTTGTTGTATTTGTAAGTCATTTTTTAATATAATCCGTATAATTTATTTTCAGATCTTGTTCGCAATGAGAAACCAGAATCCAAGTGGTACGTCTAGCTCGATTTCCCCAATTAATGGATTACTGAAAGACATATCAGAGTCAAAGAAAACAACGAAGTAGAACTTGAAGCAAAATAAAATGAGACAGAAATAAATGACACATTCCTTTCCTTTTAGAACTGTTCTATAGAATAATCATAATTATGTCACCACCAAAAGTGGTGACATATTGTTATGGTCTCCGTTTTTTTGTGACGGCGTCCGGCGGTTGGTGGTTGGCGTCCGGCGGTTGGCGTCCGGCGTCTGTAACAATTTCTTACAACTTCCTATAACTTAACAAATACTGTTTAGATTGACTTCAATTTTTTTCTAAATCATCTACATGTTCTCAGAAGTTCAAATCTGACTTAAGATTTGACATTTGACCTGCAATGACCTTCTCAAGGTCAAAAAGGTCTTTTTTCAACTTGCTTCACATTGACTCAATTTTTTTCAAAATCATCTACATGTTCTCAGAAATTCAAATCTGACTTTAGATTTGACATTTGACCTTCAAATCTGACTTTAGATTTGACATTTGACCTTCAATGACCTTCTCAAGGTCAAAAAAGGTCAAAAAGGTCTGTTTTCAACTTGCTTCAAATTGACTAAGAAATTTTTTCAAAATCATCTACGTGTTCTCAGAAATTCAAATCTGACTTTAGATTTGACTTAAGATTTGACATTTGACCTTCAATGACCTTCTCAAAGTCAAAAAAGGTCAAAAAGGTCTTTTTTCAACTTGCTTCAAATTGACTAAATTTTTTTTTCAAAATCATCTACATGTTCTCAGAAATTCAAATCTGACTTTAGATTTGACATTTGACCTTCAATGACCTTCTCAATGTCAAAAAAGGTCAAAAAGGTATTTTTTCATCTTGCTTCAAATTGACTAAATCTTTTTTTCAAAATCATCTACATGTTCTCAGAAATTCAAATATGACTTTAGATTTGACTTTAGATTTGACATTTGACCTTCAATGACCTTCTCAAGGTCAAAAAAGGTCAAAAAGGTCTTTTTTCAACTTGCTTCAAATTGACTAATTTTTTTTCAAAATCATCTACATGTTCTCAGAAATTCAAATCTGACTTTAGATTTGACATTTGACCTTTAATGACCTTCTCAAGGTCAAAAAAGGTCAAAAAGGTCTGTTTTCAACTTGCTTCAAATTGACCAAATTTTTTTTTCAAAATCATCTACATCTTTTCAGAAGTTCAAATTTGACTTTACAAGTTCTCAGAAGTTCAAATCTGACTTTAGATTTGACCTTTGACCTTCAATGACCTTCTCAAGGTCAAAAAGGTCTTTTTTCAACTTGCTTCAAATTGACTAATTTTTTTTCAAAATCATCTACATGTTCTCAGAAGTTCAAATCTGACTTTAGATTTGACATTTGACCTTCAATGACCTTTTCAAGGTCAAAAAGGTCTTTTTTCAACTTGCTTCAAATTTACTTAATTTTTTTTCAAAATCATCTACATGTTCTCAGAAGTTCAAATCTGACTTTACATTTGACATTTGACCTTCAATGACCTTCTCAATGTCAAAAAAAGTCAAAGAGGTATTTTTTCAACTTGCTTTAAATTGACCAAATTGTTTTAGGTGGTGACATTTTGTCATGTTAATGCCTTGTCATGAATGTTTACAGTGATTGCATTTATAAATTTAGAATTACTTTATGTAGAGTGGATGAAAAATGTATTTATCTATTACAAAAATTGTTCCATATTTTGTATCTGCACAACAACTAACTTCTTTGACATTGGGAATAGGGAGTCTAACATATCTAGGATTACCCAAGAAGTAATGCTTACAGTTGTCTTGAACTGGAAGAAGAAGAGGGATGTTAAACACAGATATAAATTAGATGGATCCTATAAGTCGGGAAGTTCTCTGATTGGTCAGTCAGTACGTCATACTTCAAGCGGGACATTTGAAATCCCTTAAGGGGCCCTATAATGGCTAGACTCCAATTTTCCCAGACATTATATTGCATAGAATGTTTATATACTAAAGACATCCTCACGATATGATAGACAAAAGTCACAATAAAACATATAAAACAATATTTTGTAGTTTGTATCATGCATGGTTATTTTTATTTCTATTAAATGACTACATGTATGTTGCAAAGTTTACCACAACGGGAAACACTATTTTGTAAGCACTACTAAGAAAGAATACTTTATGTGTTATCCATAAGTAATAACCATGACTAACTACTAATTCTCAGGAATAAAAAGTTCACTCTATTGAGAGATAGATAGAGTTTATCCTCGGACCAGTTACGTCTTATCCGTGTGTCATATGACTACTGTGTTAATTAACTAAGTAAAGTATTCCAATTAAAAAGTATTGTATGTTTGCATGCAGCAAGCGTTTGATAATTCTTCGCATATATAATAGTGTCCATAAAAGAGTCTGATATATAATATTGTCCATAAAAGATCGGTCTGATAATAACAAGTAACTCATGTTTATTTTAAAATTATTCTTTACGAATTTATGATACGTGTATAATGTTCAATCATACAAATCGCAGTCAGTGATTGTTCTCCACACTCACCCCTCCCCCTTCCTGACATGAACTATTTTGTAAAACCATTAACAGTGTGGAAAGGATTATAACACTCGAGTGTCAAGGGGGGGGGGGGGCAGTTATAAAAATATACAAGGCGATGGTTCAAATTGGACAATTTTGAAAACTGCTCAACATGGTGAAAACTTCACGTTTTTAAAGAATGCTTGCCAGGCGAGTGGTTTGCTCTGGATTGCGAGAGAACAAAAACTTTGAATTAGGATTTTTCCTAATACTATCATTAATCTAAACAACTTTTTAAACCGTCTCTGATTACATATCATGCCAATTAATACCATTATTGTGTTGACAGGATTAAATATGATATCTATGGAATTATAATTTAATTAACTCAATAGTCTAAATGATAATAAGTTCATAATTTAGTCTTGGCTGACTAATCTTGCATCATCAGAGTTGGATTGCAAATACCTCCCTAAATCAAATAATTTAAATTTACAAATTTACTAGTGTACGGGGTGGGGAAACAAGTCTCCATCCAACCACTAAAGTTTAAAAGGAAGACTACAGTGTCCCGTGAATTCATTATAATTATCTTAGACAATAGTGAAGCGGTACAATCATGGGAGTGTTAATTAATCGGAATGCAAGTTTGATTTAAAATAACTCCTTTGGATCAAATATTTAAATTCTACTAGAATGCGGGGAGTGGAAACAAGTCTCCATTCAAGCACTAAATATCAAAAGAAAGATTTCAGTACCCCTTAACTTCACTCCCGGACTTCACTATTCACCCCCCCCCCCCCCTTCCCCAGTTATCCCTTATGACTCCAGAATGTTCGTTTCTGTGCCCCCCCCCCCTTGTCAATGGCCAGTAAGTAATCTATGTGTATATTGGCTCCCTCCCAAAGGTGGGAAAACCAGATGCAGGCATAGACATTGACAAGACGGGGGGCTTTAAATATAAAAATAGTCTTGTTTTTGGCTCCGACTTAAATATTTTGGCACTGTTTAACGAAGCCGGTTTAAGGAATGAGAGGCAGAAATAATTCCTAAAAATAAGATGGCCTGTCTTTACTGTAATCAAGATGCTACCTAACCGCAGTTATTTTGGTTTTATAACGCCGGGGATATTGCTCGAGCTTGAATAACAAATAAAAGGCATGTTCTTATTTCTGTATTCTGTCCTTTGATCGTGTATTAAGTTGAGCTGCACGCCAAACGTTAAGATTGTTAAAACGCTTAAAATAAAACTTTATTCCTCTCAATTTACATAAAAATGAAACAGATTAGATTCGAATCCCAGTCACACCAGCCACTGGCCAAAGGAAGTACAAATATCTATATTAATCAAATGTCTGAGAATTTGATAACTGTCTGGGATCCAATGTTAATTTTATTGAATCAAACTAAGAAAAGTATAAAGAATGATGAATTTTAAACGTTTAGAGGGAAAATTCAAATATGCATTGTAACCCTAAAAATAATTCATTAAAGTGTCGTACACATTTCATAACATTTATATAAATAAAACAAATGAAGCACAACCCTAATGCCCTAATGAATTCATATCGGCGCTAAACGGCCCTTGCAATAAAAACGCATCGAAGCAGGGAATGCTTGGAAAATTCTTCCGAGACTGACTTTTGTTATTTCAAAATTGAAATATGCCTAATTCCTATGAAATAATCAAATAACCACGCGATCTTTTTCCCTGGGTTTTACTCTATTTTAGATTTACTAGAAAAATGTTTATATGATGATTGCGTTTGCTTCTCACGAGTTCATTGAAAAGTTCAGTCGTAAAACTTTAGAGATCAAAACTAATTAGGCACCTGATTGCGAAAGTTTGATTGCATTTCGATCGCCGGGATTTTACAAACGTATTGTTTAAGTAGCGATCGTGTTCTTGGGATCTTGATAACTTCCTATTTTTAGTTAAGGGTTGAAAGCAATGAGTATGTCGGACTTTCTCAAGTCCACATAATGAAACAATATCCCTTTATATTAGTCCAATCGGAATTTGCATAAACATACCAGTTTTTTATTGCAAAAAGAACTGTAATTAATAACCTACATAAAAGCATCATGATAAATAAAACATGAAAGCATATATAAAGCCTAGTATTGTTATAAAAATCCCTAAATCCTCACCATATAAAATTAATATAGTTTTATTGATGACCAAAAACAGATATCAAGGGCGTAGCCAGCTTTCAGTCAGGGGGGAGAGGTGCGATCGCCAAAAAGATTTCGGTTTTCAGTCAGGAGGGTATGATTGTGGCATTTTAATGCTCCTTTCTTCTTCTTTCTCAGCGTTTTATTTTTATTGTTATGGGGGAGGTTGCGATCGCACCCCACCCCCTCCTGGCTACGCCTATGGATATTTTGGCAACTTTCACGTTTACCCCGCCCCTTAATAATTTTTGCACCCCCTCTAAATATCAGACCCGTCAGGCGTTGAGGCATGGATCAGAATACCCTGACTCCCAAGCTGTGCGACTTCTGGCAACCGCTACACCTATATTCACGGGGAAAACGCTTTTAGAAAAATTGTCAAATATGGTCGTGTGTGGGCAAACACGGAGGAGGAGGAGAGGAGTGCGTGCATTGCGTGCGACCCTTCATCAGTTGTGCACCTTATTTTTGTATGAATTTCTTCCGAATAGTTATGCTAGAGGGGTTCTGATATTTATTTCTGTTTTCAAATGAAATAATTTCACCCTTGCCCGACTGACTTGTAGATAATGCACGAATCAAATAGCATGGAGATCAGATAATCAGATTGATTCGTATTTTCGCAATCAGATGAATTAACGTATTGTTTTCTCTGATTAAAAGGCGGTTTGAAGCTACTTTTACACGTAACAGGATTTGTAAATTCACAATCAGACTGGCTTATTTTAATATTTAGTCAGTGCAAGAGGAGGGGACTATTAATGTAGAAAATTGTTTTGATTTCGACACTAACTGAATAATTTATCACAATTGTTAATAAGCAAACAGAAACAGGTTTAAAAATGAGAATAGAGGCAAAAAAGTCTATTAATAAAATGTAATTAAAACCCGGGAATTAAAAGCAATTTTAGACTGTTAGATGATCTCTTCTGTAATCAAGGTGATGTTGGTACACTTCCGCCGTTAGAAAAACAAAGACTAAGACTATATAGCAATTAATCCTTTTGTAATCAATAAATGTTAGATTCTTATTATTTTGTTGGACAATGTTCAGACTTCTGACCAAGATTAAATCATTTATGTTTGTATTTGAAAAATAGTATTTCAATCAGACAGACGTGCTAATGAGGTCGAAAAATACATTTATCCATTTCCTCTCAAGAAGTTTTCAAAGGTAATCAAGTCGATTTGTTTGAGTGTTTAGCATTGTTTTTCATAACTTGACGCTTCCATGAACAGAATGACTTTGAAATGAGTTTTTATAATTTTAGCTTTTATACGGACATGCTTATTGTATATTTCTATGTGAACGTTGTAGTTATGTGATGTAACATCGCCCCCCCCAAAAAAAAATTACAGGTATACAAATTTTGATCGGAATGCATTAACTTGCAATTAAAAGCAATTTTAGAATGTTAGATGATCTCTTATGTAATCTAGGTGATGTTGGTACACTTCCGCATTTAGGAAAACAAAGACTAAGACAAAGAGAACTAAGCAATTAATCCTTTTGTTATCATTAAATGTTAGATTCTTATTTTTTGATTGGACAATATTAAGACTTCTGTCTCCGATTGTTATGCAGGTATGTGTATAAAATCATGTGAACAACATTATCGTCGAAACTACCATCTTCATTCTCATAATGTCTTACAGCTATTTCGCAAATGACATAATCCTAAACAACATATGGACATAACGATAATATTGCAGAACTGAGCGAAAAGAAAGGTGGAACAAATCAGATTAAGATATTTTATTTTTGAAATGCACGAAGGGCAACAGTTGAAGAACAAAAGTTAAAGGCGTTTTGAAATAGATCGTGCTTAAATATGATCCCCTTCTATAATACCCTACCCTTTGCATTTGTTCGACTTCACTTCTTAAATGAGAGCTTCGTCTTCTCGTAGTTTATAATTAGACTCTGCACGCAGCGTAATAGTGCCCTTATTATCCATGTTCAGGGGCGTAGCCAACTTTCAGTCGGGGGGGGGGGGTGCGTTCGCCAAAAAACAATAACGGTTTTCAGTCGGGGGAGGGGGTTGCGATCGTGGCAAAAGCAAGCCAAAAGATGCAACTTCCTTCAAAATTGAGCTTGAAGCTTCTATCTCTTCTTCTATTTCTTGGTTCTATTTTATTGGTTATGCACCGCAACCCCCCCCCCTGGCTACGCCTATGCCTGTCGAGAGACAAAAAGAGAAGCGAAAAGACTGTTAAAACAAGTACTTCCAATAAATGATTTTACAGTTATATGTGTTTATCAACGACCCTACTTGTCAAATTAATAGAAACGAAAACTAAATTCTTTCATTACGCGAAAACCGTTGAAATATCTACCTGATTCGCTGGAATAGTCATTAGTCACATTATTTCAGAGCAAACAATTAGCATCTACTATAATATTTATTTTTCTATCCGATAT